CTTAAAAAAGAAGGTCCCGTCCCACGGCAGGTGTTGGTCAATAATGAAACCATGCATAAATCAAAATTGTGACATTTAACCTAAAGTGGATGATCTCTTTATCTGGGTAAAAAATTCTAAAATGGCGTAAAGCAACATTCAATTATCAATCAAATGTGACATTACGGAACCCCTCTCCTCGGCATTTTATTTTCTAAGACAGAACTGCTGTTCTAGTAAGTTATATTGATGCTACCAAAGATGTGTGATGAACAGATTGAGTCCTCTCAACACCCAGTTAACAAAATACATGGATCCTATGTCCCTAATACGGAAAAGTGTCCTTCTAAAAGGTCGAGGCGAGAAGTCCCATTATTAAACCATCCCATCAGTAATTCCCTATCTATAAAGTTACAAGTGTACCCATAGAAAAAAAAAGTTGATAACACAAATAGCAAATGCATCTTCCCGCTACAACAAAGATAGCTCTTATCGTTTCTAGAACTAACAGATAGGCAGTAGTCCTAAGGAAGTATAAAATACAAAGAAGTAGCATAGATAAAAAACTATCATTATAAATAATAATAATTATAGTAAATAACATATTCACACCTTATAGTCTATAAAGAAAGTTTTTTTTTCTTTATTTCTAGCAGAGAGTTCAATGAGACTTGTCTCCACGTGTAATTTCATAACATCCAGTCTTTTCAGTCCTTTGATTTTAGATTTTTTTAAAGTAAAAATTTGATATTTTTTTAGTAATCATGCATTGCTTATATTAATTCTTAGTAAATCAACAGAAACATGTACTCTAACTGAAAGTTTATAATAAAAAATAATCTACATAAGCTGACATCCTTCATAATTGTGAGTAGTTAGCTTTTCCTGCAAATATCGTAAAAATGAAGCGAAAAGTTTTTATTTACATGTCATAACCACCTTTAACCAAGTTCATAATTTGGTAGTCACTTTTTATGTTTATAAGAAATTTACATGCAAATTTTGGTGTTGGTTAAAGGTGGTTATGACATGTGTAGGAGTTACCTAACACACCCACCCTCTTGAGTTTTCCCATTACCCTAATGCTAATACGGACAGATAGTACCTTACTTTGTGACCCTATATCATAGCAAATACTATTGTATCATTAACCAAGCAACATTTATCATTAATTTGGAACATTAGCCTACTGATTCATGTAGTTTTTAAGGGAAAAAATACTATTTGAAAATTTGAAGTCATTGTAGGCCGCAAAACGGCCTTATAGAGAATGATCCTTTAACGACTAACGCAGTGTTATGTTATTTTTACTTAGAAAAGTATGGTGCCCCTTTCACGTTAAATTAACATTATTCCTCAGTTGGTAAGTATTTCTCATCGATATAGAAAGCCAATGTTATCGTAAGGGGAAAATAAAATAAATGTTTAAAAAAAAAAAAAAAAAAAAGAACATATGGGAAAGCAGGTCGAAAAATGATATAATATGAAACAAATTTTAATATGTATATATATGTACTTAAATAGATTTTTAAAAATATATACAGTGTTTAATTTCTAAAAACAAATAACTACATGTCGTTTGTGTTTATTTCCCAATAAATTATTCCTCAAGCTTAATTTCCTAATTCGTGCATTATTCACAAAATGTAAAACTTTGAAGAAATTTAACTACTAACACTGTCATATGTATTGATATATAGGTAAAGTAAAGATTACGTAGTAAAATCATCAGTTCTTCCTATGATGTATGTATGCATCGCAGTCCTGCAATTCCCGCGGGAAAAGAGGAGGCCCTAATTTTTTCAGAAAACAAATTAATGTCAATTTAGCATGGAAAATTTCATTCAAAGACACATTCAATGTTTTGCTTGCATTTTGATCGATGCAAGCGATGTTACTTTACCTGTATGTGTGGAAATTGAGAGCAAGAAGTCATGTTAAAAGGATTTTTTTGGCTGGGGGGGGGGGGGGGGGGGAGTTCATATAAATAAAAAATCCAATTCGGATTCATTCTCAATATAGAGCTAATATTCAAAAATGAATTTTAAATTAAAGTTTCCACATATCTTATTTTGAAAATAATTATGAACTGAAATGGAACCTCGAATGTAATTCCTCATCGGATATTAAAATTTCATACAAATTGGAGCCACTTCCTTTTTTTATTAAAATATTGGATAGACAGGGTAGATTTTCCCTTTTGTAGTATAGTTTATGGTATATCGCTTTATTCTACCTTATTATAATATTTTACAAAACACATTGTTTGGTTCTAGACAGTATGTCACGCGTCATGAAAATAAAACTTCATAACTCACTGTCTTTTTTCTATTCTTTTCATCATTATATTTAGCTATTTTCAATACTTGTTGTACATGGTAGAAAATAACAGGTTGCTATTTTAACCTCGTATTGTTTTGGTATATAAGCAATTACTGCATGAATGTATTGGAGATATGAAGAATTCTATTCACTCAAAAGGGCAATATAGGGAATATGATTTTTATTAGTTGAACAGATCTTCCCCCTTTATCATGCAATGAATATATAACATTCAATGACGTTTAGCACCAAACTCTGCAATGAAATTTTTTAAATATTTTTTTTTAATTACTCTGAACAGGGGTGTCCCTGGGACACATGCATAACACATTTGAAGTCGTTTTTTGCTTGTCTGAGATGGGCCAGGTAGTTGCGATCGGACAAGAAATAATTGAAAAATGAATTTTTCCCTAGTAATCAGTAATAACAACCCCCCGAAATCGCCGAAAAATGGTAAAATATTGCCGACTCAGCAAAATTAAACGATCAATAGTTATTTTCTCTCACAAGCTGTGTTGCTAAGAACATCGTTGTCGTTGCTAAAACGTTGGAGGCATGTTGAATCCTAAGGAAATTTTAATATTTTTTTTAATTACCATTATTTGTCATTCTCTTTTTGTAAAGCATATGTACTGGTACATGTACATATACAAGATATATATGGAAAGAATGCTATTCTGCAAATATGTATATATGTAAATGATAAAAAAACCAACTCATGAAAATAGATTCGTGACCCCCCCCCCCCCCCCCCCCCCAAAAAAAGAGTACGCATGTAAGTATTATATTGGATTTTTAGCCGTTATTTGAAACATCTTTACCATAAAATAGTTTATACATTTTATAATAAATTTGATTTTATGCACAAGATGAATGTGAAAGCAATTAATGACGCATAATTGGATACGATAGACAGTCCCCTGTTCACACGTGACATTATTTAGTGTGTGAAATGTGTTTCCGTATAATTTGAGTTATTTACAAAATGTTCATGTTTGTCGTATTGATGTGGAAATATTATAAATTCCCGACTTTGGATATTTTACAGTTTTGTTGTGTTGGGTATGACTTTGAAGAAGTTGCAAATACTTTTAACATTATAAAAAATATAAAGCAGAACGAACGCCTCTGGGTAAAGATCATGAAATGCACGAGGATCCACGGGTATTTGTTGTCATATGCGCAATAAATAAGACTTCCAGATCATTAATTGGCTAGTGATACCTTAAGATAACATTCATCTCTAGATGAAAATTGACTCGGTAAAATGTGCCATCCCATTGTTTAAGTTTTATAAAGTAATTACACCGCCTATACCCGATTTCGCGGATACAACGATACCCCGATTTCAGGGACTAGACGCGATTTCACGGATAATACCCGATTTCGAGTATTCTCTCCAACCTGTTCAACTTTAAAGCGACAGTACAGCTGCAAAACGTGTGCTTTTTCATTCAAATTTACCCAATATATCATTAAGAAATAAGGTATAAAGTTGATGTAAGCAGTTTGAGAAACAGATATATTCTCTCCTCATACAAAATTAACGTAATTAGAATCTGCCGGAAAATCAAGGGTCATACGAACTGGAGCAATCTTAGTCTGTTTATTTGTACCACGTGAATTCTAAAACGGCACGTGCCTACACTGTAGAGTTTACAATTAAAATGAATATGAGGTAAAAGCAATTTTCAAAAGCAAATTATCATAACTTTCTGATAAAATAATCTAAAATAATAATCGTAAAGATTTTAGTCTGCTTTCTGGCGAATTTAACAGAATTAAAAGTACAAATGTTGACATTTTGTGTATTGGGGTCCGAGAAAGGAAAAACCACCAAATCATACATTATCACAGCAAATGTCAAACAAAATATTTTTCTGCACAGTTAAAAAAATTAGCACTTCAAATGGCAACAATGTTCATAAGTCATAGGTGTATTTTTATGTTGAGTTTACACTATTTTTTTTCTTTGAAAGCAATGGAAAAATGAGAAATGATAACAAGTATCAACAAACCTGTTGAGTAGAACCTTTGCGAACCCTGCATGAGTGTCATCGAGTTCCCATTTCTTCCTTATCAAACAATTACATTAATCCCCAAACTAATTTTTCAAGCTCTATTTTCAGTTTCTTTTTGGTCGACTTTGTCAATGTAGCAGCCTACTGGGCTTCCCTCTCTTACCATGCTGTTTTGTTTATGATAACTACGCATGCGCACATAGCATGGATTGTGGAACCCCGAACACGTTGCCATGTATATATTCATGTCCCATAAATAACTATTAATTTTAATGAAATAATCCAAATTATTTAATTATGAAAGTTGTAATTTTCTGAAAGTTTATACATTTATGAGTAGTAAAAAAAATTCCAAATCTTGTCGGAAAATTTTATCAAGTCATTTTTTTTATGAGATGTGCCGTACTGTCATTTTAAGGCAAAATTTACCACACATTAGACTAACCCAATATAAATACATGGTATTCAGTAAAATTTTGCAGTTGTAATTTTAAGCTAGATATAAATTTAATTAATAAAATGTCTTTCTTTCTTTGTTTATTGGGAATTAACTGTTGACGATCATTTCAGAAAAAAAAAATTATATGTACAGTGTATAACCCACTTCTGTCGTGCTAGGTATATTTTCTGCAGTGTTTCCTTATTAACAAAGAAATCATTTGAAATAAAAACCCTTACCATCCTCTGGCTGTGAGGCAGAGGCAGCTGCAATGTCTTCAGAACCTGATGCCATATTTGGTTAATGCTTTTATTGTTTATTAATGCTGGCTACATTCTTGTAATCCTGCTTGACTAAAAGTTCACCCACAGCACACATACACAGGCAGTTCCTTACATGGTTTCTGCAAAAGATTGAAGATAAAACAAAGTAAATTGAATTGAAATCTCTACATAAAAAGAAATATTAAAGGCTGCAACACGTACTGCATGTCATACAATAATATATGCACCACTTTATCTATAAAAAATTTGTTTGTGTGACTCTGCATTTTCCCATGTTGTACATCACAAGGGGTGTGCACTTAGTGCAGTATGCCTGTGTAATCACTAGATAACATGATTCAAATAGATCATAAAAAAAGTATAAATAATTATAGCTTGAAGTCAGAACATATGGCAGATAATGTACAGTTAACTTTTTGTCAGGGCAGAAAGTCAGTAAGTATTAAGTGAACATGGTAATCTGATGTTTATTTTATACCTTTGTCACCTGATATTACCCAATACACATATTGCTTTTCCTCACAAGCATAGGGCTCTCAAGAAAGCAAAAATATTGACACTAGTTTCTAATCTCTGTTGTGGTCCTTCTGACCAAATTCCACAAAACAGCATAACCTAACTGGTACTATGTTGCATAACCCCATGACAAAGCACTTTATCTTAACATTTGTTAAATCTTTCTTTTTCTTAAAATTTTCTGATTATATTACAGAAGGGTGTGGTCAGTTTTTTTACTCAGTGCATTTTTGAAGGAGAATATGTACTTCCTTTTAAGTCTTTATATTACACAGAAGGTATTTAAATACTTTTCACACTTAGAAGGTATATCAATAATTGAACATGGATACGCTAAAATCTAATGAAAGAAAATTACATCTAAATGGTATGATTAAAAGTTTACTTGCTCAGATTTAATATTTTTTTAACATTCTATACACTACACATGTCAATGAACCTATTTAATAAAATTTATTATATGAATACATTTAAAAATACATATATTAACAGATGTACAATGGCATTTATAGTGAATTACTATAAAACGAACAGCTGAGTACATACCAACATATATTCATAACTTTAAATTGATGGTCAACATTTAGAAATTCAAAATCTAAATCATCGTACAAGCCGGAGGACTAAAGGATGTCCTCACTATCTGTACAAGACAGAGAACTTATATTTTACCTGTTCTCTTGTTAATCACTTCCATTACAGTATCAATGACAAATCGTTGAACTTGTCAAACCTTTTTTGAAAGATTGTGGCAAAAAACATGACTTTTAAATGGGGTGGCACAACCTCAGGCATTTATACCTGGCAGGCATTAAAGGGCTCCCCAAAAAATTACAAATACATCAAACGGGTTCATAACATTGGTAAAATTCTTCCTCATAAAGTAAGGTTAAAAATATCATACCTAGCCTTTGATGGTATTGGAATTAAATTTCAACTAGACATATTATTGAACAATATTTGGCTAAACATTAGGATATTTTATAGAATCATTTTGGTGGCATGCCAGACATTTATTCTTTTAACATTGTGGATTGAAAAATCATTTCAGGATTTGATAATTTTTCATTAACTTGCCAAGGAGAAATCCATCAAACTTCACTTCAGACTGTATGGGACATAACGTTGTACAAATGGGGACAAGAAATAATAAACAAAATGTTTTACAACAGGGACAGATCATGAAAAGAGTAATTCTGGATTTACCATCAAAGCCATCTTAATTCCTTCTGTTTATAACATATCCTATGATTTTTTTCAAAGTAGCAGTGTGTTATCATATGTAGAAGCCTGTAGTTGCATTTTTCCATTTGCAAATCCCTTAGCTGGAAATTCTCTTTCCAAAATTAATCTTCAACAATCACTTGCATAGTGAAATCATTTTTTTTATTAGCAAATATAGTTTGCTATTAACTAACTTGTGAGCATTAGCCATATAGGTTCATTCTGGGACTTATTAGTTATTTCATCAATAATTTACAGAGGAAAACAAAGAGATGCAAGCTTTGTCAAGATGTTCAATACATTCACACAGTTCTAGAGCGGGACGGACTGTACTCCATCTACACCAATCAATACTTATAGAGGCACAGCTTGGCCATCTGTGTTCATGTTTATCACCGACACTTCAGAATGATATACCATACAAAATTGCTTGTCTCTCTATCCTGATGTGTTACATAGAAATACTGATGATAATTTGCAAAGACACATAATTCTTTAAAATTTTATTTCATCATTGAAACCCTATTCAATTGGCTTATATGTACAATGTGTACAAATAACCTATAAATTGAAACTATAAAATAACTCTTAATTATCTTTTTATCTTATCATTCAAGTGCTAAATCATAAATTTTAATTTAATTATTGTAAAGAATTTTAAACCCCTTCCACCCCACATCTGCATACCCCCCCCTCCCCCATCTATCAGAAAATTAGAAACTATAATGATAGTTGATACTTGTTCAAAATGGAATCTTTTTTTTTCAACACTGTATTTAAAATAACTACTGGTAGTTAATTAACATTGCAAGCATTGTTTAACATTCAAATTTAACTTCCAGGTAAACAATACACTGTCAGTGAGTTTATCTTCAGGAGGAAGAATTTTATTAACCTAATTTTCACATACTTGATAACCGTTTGGCATTGCCAACTCAGATTCTGAGACAGAATGTTCAACGCAGAATGTATAATATTAGAAAGTTCTTCGAGAAGGATTTAGGTCCATGATTGCAATGCGTTTTTCTTAATACAACTGTACAGCAACTGCAAGGAAAAGAGGAAATTTAAGAGTTCATGTAGGATTTGTTGTACGTATTACATTTTATATAATATTTTCTAAATAGGAAAAAAGTAGGTATATATATATACAGTTGCTACTCTTTGGAAGTGACTTTGTTATTCCCATGTGTACTCAAAGAAACTACTAGGAGAATACATAGCATATTATGAATTAAACATTTCATTTTTTGAACATAAAGCAGCAAAAACAACACCTTCACTAAAGTTATTAGGCTGTTAAAAACCAAACGGTGTCTCATAATCAGTAAAAATCATTAAAACCTGGTTAAAAAAATCAGTTTTATTATTTTTAAAATATAATATGTAATACAATCCCCAGGTACGCCGGGTATCTCTATAAGTGTAACAGGTGTGTGTATGATATGTAGGCTACACAATGTCAACCATAGGTGTGTAGTTGTCATGGGACAGGTGGTGAATGTTAAAACCGAAAGTAGCGGTCAATTACAAAATCAATCACTCTAATACTTACAATCACCAATGGTCATGAGACTTCATGATCAATCCATCATGTCCCAGCAAATCATGCACAAGTTATTGTTTTCTGGTGAACCACAACAAAAATGGCGATTTTTTCGTGGGTGTCACGTGATTTTTAAGGGGCACTTGTAGGCGGTGTCTGGATAAATTCTAAAGTCGGCACCTAGATCGAAAAGGTAATGTTAATGTTTAGGCCTAATGAAAGTCTTACATGAGGTTAAAGAAAAAGTGTTATACAACTTATTGTCCTGTTAAACATGGTTTAAAAAATTCTATTCATCACTTAACATATTGTCATGATTATCACGTTCATGATATCAATGTGCACTGCAAAAACCAAAATAAAGAGGTAGAGTTATCCTTCTTTAAACATGTAGCCTGATTCCCGTAAACGGGAAAGGGGGGTTAAGATGAAAATTAAGATAAGAAAAACATGTAAGCAATTTATTATAATACCCATAATCACTTCCCAAATTATATATAAGTAAATAAAAAGTCTTATATATGTACCAACTCAAATCAACATGTATGTATGGGACATCCTCGCAAGCCATGGGTCCTGAGTCAACACGTTGCCGTTGGACCAGGGGTCCAACGGCAACGTGTTGACTCAGGACCCCTGGTTTGCGAGGATGGTATGAGGAGACAAAATTATATTGTAGGCCTATTTTTTTTTAAATAAGCGAATCACTGATGGGAACTAATTCATCCATTAAATCCACTTAAATCTACCACATAAAATAAAGTTCTAAATTAATTTGAAATACTGTTAATTTCCAGATTGAAATGAATTACAAGATAACAAAAACATGGAATGGGTCGGATGTAGATCATCCGTATGTACAGCTAACTCTACATGCCGCTGAGAGTGGAGTTGAGGTGAGGGTTAAAGCCCCGTTTTTCAACGACCCTGGGAATCCCGGAGGAGAAGACGGGAAACCATTCCCAAATTTATGGGACTACGAAGGTACCTATATTTGATAACCTTACTGCATTTTCTGATTCAGATGGAGCCTTCATGTATGACCATGATTTTTTTTAGCAATATGCCATTATCACCTGCATATGGAGTTTATGTCTCCAACGAACAATTTCTAATACGAGAAGGCTATTGACAAATAAATTGATGATACAAGGACATCAACAATCTCTTTAAAGTCAACCTTTCGAAAATTCTATGGTCGAAAAATGACCTGGTTTTCAAATACAGTCTGTCATTAGGTCAATGTTTACCGAAGACTTTCATACATATTGCTATAGGCCATTATTTTCACACTGAATTGTATGCGCATTTTCCCGTTTACCCGATCATGACAAGATACTAGGCGGATGTGATCAGTGGACGGAGAATGCTTACTCCTCCATGGCTCCTGGTTCCACCTCTATTTTTAGAGGTCCTTGTTGACTTTGCCCACAACTTGTATTGTTTAAATGGACTTTTGTTTGTTATTTTCACATTTCAAGATCGTAAATACATTGACATACTAGTATACATTCACATGCAAACTAATGTTCTTCTTTGTCAGTGGTTGAGGCGTTTTTCCTGAACGATAAAAACCAGTATCTAGAGGTTGAACTATGTCCGTGAGTACAACACTAAATATTCTGATTCTTACAAAAAAAGAAAACTCCATAAAGTTACAACTCATACACTGTATCATAATTTTTTGGAGGGGGGGGGGGGGTCTGGGGTATCCAGATAGCGCCATGTAGTTCACGATAGCACCATATATCGCGACGTAGTGGTTTGGTCGATAGTGCGATGCACGATGGTGCGTAGGGCTGTCACGAGTACCCGAAATAACCGAGAACCGCGGTCCAAGTTGTTCGGTTCGGTTCCGGTTCCATTTTTCCGGATTTCGGTTCGGGTCTGGTTTATATATTAGAGTCTGTTTAATACAAAAAATGGCGTCGAAATCAAAGGAATGATGACGATAACAGTGATAAATAAACATCACAACTGAAATCTACTTCATTCCATGACAAAACACTTGTCACGGAAGTATTAGACAATTATCAAAACGAGCAGGAATGGTCAGGTTGTGGCTAATAGTAGGCCAAGTCACCGATTTCTAGACGTTCGCATGGTTAAGACTTGTCTTCAATGTAAATTTAATGTAACAAATAAAGATTTTTCAAGTTAAATTTATGAAATTAAGGTTTAAAATAGATGTAAATACCCGACCCGAAAAACCCGAAACCGAACCGAAAATTTACAGAACCGACCCGACCCGAAAAATTTTGGAACCGTGACAGCCCTAATGGTGCGATGACGCGTTGCTGCGATAACGATGGTGAGATAGTACGATGACGCGTTTGATATCGCACTATAGCACCATGGTTATTGCAGCATCGTTTTATTGTCATTGCACCATCGTGTCATCGCGAAATTGGCCCAATATTCGATGTGCAATGGCGCGATGAAATACGTCATTAGGCAGGGGTTCAAATGTAACCATATAAGCAATATGTCAAATTATTATTTATTTATATGGGAGTGATAATCGACATTGTAGCAGTTGATATTTCTTATGTGAGCGGTTTGTCTGTGCGAATTATCACTACTCGAATGTCAGTTATCCTTCCATCTCTCATTAATCATTGAATCAAATCGATGTTTCACTTTTTGAAGAGGAATTAACAAAGGAAAGTGATATGTTTTTTCCCTCATCAGCTACATCTTAATTGCACCTTGCTTTAATCTAATATTTTATTTTCTAGGCATGGTCAGCACATTGTATTATTATTAAAGGGGTTCAGAGATTGTTTTGCTGTGAGTTGAATAATGAAAAATGTCTTATCTCTAGATATTTATAATCAGTTAGCCTGATTATACTCTTTAAATTGTTTCGATTCACAAACCCATGTCTATTTTCCGTTCACAGGACTTGCTGCCAATGAAATATACTTCAGCCATTAAAGGCGATACATGGGAGGGAACAGCTTTAATACCCATGTCTTATTTTCCCCCTAAAGTATCCAAATTTAACGCTTACGCTATACACGGATCAGGGTCCACGAGGACGTACGAAGCATTGTACCCCGCTTCTAAAGACAAACATACCGACCCAGACTTGTAAGAAGAAATACCATTTTTCTGTTTGTACATGTATAATAGAATGTGTTTTATCGACTTCTTGGTTGATTTTTCTTCTTTTTTTCAGTCACAGACTTGAATATTTCCAGCAGATTGATTTCCAGACACTTCTTCCACAGAACTGGGCGAGTGACTACTTTTCTAAAGAGTGGGAACAAGTCTTAAAATGAACAATTAAACTAATAAATATTTTAATACTTCATCTTTTCTCCTTTATTCAGAGTAATCTATGTTTACGTACGTCTTTTTCATAGCTCAGTTTGCTACCTTACGAAACAGTCCAATAGACGGAAGTCTGTTCACCCTTTTGCATCTTAATTTCAGGCAATTCGTAGGTGGTTCTAGAGAGCCTTCTGCTTTCATATAGACCTCCCCCGATTATTCTCTAAAAAGTTTTAATGTCCAATTCGTATCCATGGAAGGTAGAATTGTTCAAAATTCAAGCACTGTAATTTCCCTTTAAAATGGGCCGATACCTTTAGCATAAAGGATGTGTCGTGGAGAAAGATCTTTACAAATACGTCTTTTTTCATGATTTGTTCCATCATTTTTCTCTTCTGTATATAACTGTAATTATTATCCCACAAATAAAACAAACATTCTGAGAGCATTTCATAAGCAATACTAGTCCCCTACCGGCTTGAGTGTAATCTGGTTCCCGTTAAAAATTGAAAATGCCATAATTCCGTCAAAAATCAATGTAGCGGAATGAAATTCAAACTTGATCTATAACTCATCAAGGTTAAGTCACATACTAAAAATCAGCTCAATATCTGCAAGCGTTAAGAAAAAAAAAATTGCGGAAAACCCTGAAAAATTGAAAAGGTCGTAATTCCGACAAAAATCATTGAAGCGGAACGAAGTGCAAACTTGATCTGTAACACATCAAGATACACCCACATACCAAAAATCAGCTCAATATCTGCAAGCGTTTAGAAAAAAAGTGCGGAAAACCAAGTGGGACAGACTGACTGACAGACAGACGGACGGACAGACTCAGAGGAAACCTACAGTCCCTTCCGGTTTCATCGGTAGGGGACTAAAAAGTACATGCTTTCAGCAGAGGAACAGAGCTTTCCTCTTAACTTCACACATTCCGATTCGGAATGCAAATGCTTTTAATAACTGAATTAACCAATAGCCTTTTCTACAATATGTGTTCTTCAAGTATTTATGAAAGGAAATAAGCGGGGATTATTCACGGAACACAGTGGCACAAATGGAGGATGGGCGTGGGAGGGATCCGAAAGGAGAGAAATTCGGTTACAGTTGAAACAATTTGTGAAATTGAATACTTGTATCAGTTGTATGACATATGTTTAAACATATTCCACAGAACAGAGAATTTGTTCACAAAGTTACAATTTTGTATTTCTATGTATTTTTTGCCCTAGAAATCCCAAAACACTTGAACAATAAAGTTATTATAACAATTCATTTGTGTACATATGTACTTATGTAATACGAAAGTCTCTTAAATAAGTGTTCCAAAGAACAAAGTAATGTTTCACAAAGTCACACTGTCTCCTTTGCAAACATAGTTTGTTATGGAATTAACAACCCCACCCCCACCCATGCACCCCCTAAAAATGCGAAAGAATGCAAACTATGAAAAATTCCATACGACTCGTTTTATTTACGGAAAAACTATGAAAGGGGAATGTATATGATATATATGATATATATATATATATATATATATATATATATATATATATATATATATATATATATATATATATATATATATATATATATAGTTATATAGTTATATAATTACTTTGTTCCCTGAAACTCCTAGCCTGTTTCAAGACTTTCATCTGTTTGATATATAAATTGAATCACCTGGTTTTATGCCTCTTGCTTTGGATTCTAAACCATGTCAATCCCCAACCCCTATTTCTGACTTTGCATGAAGTCAAAATAAAGAAATTTACGATCTCTAATTAGAAATCTCCTCGGGGTTTTTTTTGTTTTTTTTTTTTAAGTTCTACGAATTTGCAAAGGTTATGACTACTCTGACACGTGACCACAGTAACACCTTACATGGAAATATAAAGATTTCTTTTTAAATATTGTTAAGAATTCGACTAATTAGGCCACACGCAGATTTCCAGTTTAATATGCAAACTTTCTCATGTTGATATACAAGTTTATGCAAATCTAGGACTCCAATGGCAAGCATATGGGGCCACAATCGGGATTCACTCACCGGCCTAAAACATTCATTGTGTAAAATCATGTCTCCTTTCTAGGGCCTATAAGAGCAAAGGGTTAAAATATTTCTATGGCGATGTAAATTTTTTATTATTATTATTTAAAATAAAAGTAATAATTGTGTCATTTAGCGTAAAACTTCATGTATAGTGAAGATTTACCAAACGGACAACGCGAAACAAATTCACACGCTAAAACTTTACTTGCACAATGCAAGTCCATTGTAACGTTTCAAACTCTTACTACGTACGGACAGTTTAATAGAATTATACATATGGTACTAAATCTCACTGGATACTTGTGCAGCAAGTTGTTAGAATCTGTGAGGACGCCATGTTTATTTACGTAATTTGACATTTTTTTTTTTTATAACATTGAGATCGAGTTTTCATGAAAACTTTATTTACTGTGGGAATAGACTTCCAGGGAAATTTTTAAAAATTTTTTTCCCCACAAAATGTAAAGGACATAATTTGTACTTATCGAATGTGTTTCTTATTTTGTCTACCATTTCTTCAGAGACAAACAAAGTGTTGATTCCACTATCTGAAGTCACATGACTTAATTATTATCGGCGTGGACGAAAATATTATCGGGATCTAAAAAAGGCAAGTACAATAGCTAGTGTACCAAAACAACATTAATACTTTCTTATTCATGCTTTTGTTTTGATTTCATATTGTAGAAACTCGTTGAATTTTTTATGGTCAAAACAATAATTCTGTCTGATCATCAGAGGGAATTTGTGTTATGATCACGTCCTTAAAATACATGTATGTTAATTCTTCCTTCAAAGAAAATTGAGCACGGCAGAAATTTACTTATATATACTGATGTGATTTACTTACAAGAAAAGTTTCTTTCTTTTTTTTAGTAATTGGTGAAAGTCACAGACATTTATTTTCAAAAACATTTCTACCATATTCTAATATATCCCCGATTTAACATCGGTGATAAAAAGATGTATAATGCAGGAGGTGCTATTTCTGGCCAGGAGAAATATTTATAAGGTCAGTTCCTGTTAATATTACAGAATTCACGGTGAATGATCATGGTGTCAGTAGCATTCCAATTTGTAATTCTAAGTATTTTCTGGATAAGCGTTTCTATCAGGGCACTAACTATCCCAGGTAAGCATTTTACATTATTCTGTACCAATAAATCACCTGATTTACTAGTATTAGAAAGGATTAATTTACAATAAATCGTAAATTTAATCAGGTTACATTACTTTGCTCTACCCTATCATTTCAGATACATTTATGTATCCACCAGTGATTCGTTTTGTTTGAAAACAACTCTTTTTCATTACAATCTATAGACAATGCAATGGTAAAAACTTCATCTTTTCAGTTGGTCCCATGCTTTCTAGGCATGTAATTACTAACTAATTCACAGTGTCAAGCACAGCAACCTTTTTTCCCTATACATTCTATATAAATGCCATTTACATATAGGAAAACTGTGAGGGAGAAATGGGAGTAAATGTCCCTCTCTGTGTCGCTAATTATGCTTCTGGGTAGCTTTTCATAATACCTTCTATTGCTTTAAATACTTTTTTGCTAGTTATCCGGGATTTTTTTCTTGATTTACTTTTTTTGGGGGGGGGGGGGGTAAAGTTATGTGTCAAGTTTCTGGATAAAAGAAAAATAAGCTAATATTTTTAGTTCTCCTTGTTTAATAATGAAATCAACACATCCTTACATTTGATACTAGTTAACACTTTTTTTCAATATATAAGGCCACACCATAGTTAAAATTACTAGTAATTTATTTGATATAAATCAATAGAGGTACCCATTTTCTTAATAAACTTTAAAAAAAAATCAACTCTTCGTTACTGCGTCTGAACTTAAGTCACCTCAGTATGTTTTTAACTATTTGGCAACAAAAAAAAAAACATATGCCTTTGTACTTTCTTAAAGTTAAAAAATAAGATATCATATATTTTTTTTTTAAATGTCGATTTTCAGACAATGGTGATCAGTTACTTGTGAATTAAAATAAAATTTACAATTGATCTCAGTTGCCATAACCAAAACATGGGATGGATTAGATATAGATCACCCTCCAGTTCGATTAGTCCTGGCACATGCAACCGAAGGACTGGAGATTCGAGTCAACGCCCCCTTTTTTAATGACCCTGGTAACCCTGGGGGACAGCCTGGACAACCATTTGATGGCCTGTGGGACTATGAAGGTAAATTTCTCGTGTGATTTTAATTATCTGAAACATTTTGCCCAGACAGACACAGATTTGACTCGCATGGGTAATAATCTAGATATCTTCCAGCTAGGATCTACAAATGAGATTTTTTAAAAACAAAAATGTTCATATTTATATTTTATATTGAATAGATAATAAAAAAAGTATCTAATTATATACACGTTATATACTTATTAGTTATATTGTTTTGTTTTCCAGTGGTAGAAGCCTTCTTTTTAAATGACCAGAACCAGTATGTTGAAATAGAATTGTGCCCGTGAGTAAAATTACTTCAAAACTTTAGTATTTGTTTCAAAAGTTGTCATATGTTAGTTTAAAGATAGCATTAGAGTTCAGCATCAGATAAAGGTTCAATGATATGGAGTAAACTTGTGTCAAAATCATATCGCACACCTTGTGAGTCTTTAATGCATCCGATTATTTCAATTTGTTGATCTTTTGGGAAGGGGAAGTGGCATTAACAATCATAATGTGGGTCATTGTGACTTTATTTCGGAACTGTCACTCACCATTGTCACCTTCTGTTGGATCACTTCTGTGCTACAGCATATTTGAGAATTGTGAATCAAATGTGGATTCTCAAAAACTCCAAAATACTTTAAGAAAATATAAAATGACTAAAATTTTCAGAAATCAGTAAGATCAAAACGTTTGACTTTTCTACACTTTATGCAACCATTCTTTGCAATAAATAAAAACTCAGGCTTTTTGATATCATAGACAACTGCTTAAAAAATGAAACTAAGAAATTTTCAAATCTTGTAATGTGTCCTCTACAAAATCACTCTGATTCTACGCTCAATTACTCTGAAGTCGATATTAATGAAAGGATGCTGAAGTTCCTCATTGACAGTACGTAGTCTCTGGTCTTCCAATAATCTGTTGGAATTCCGACGGAAACTAATTGTTCTCCTTTATTATATATTCTTATGAAGAATAAGGAGATGGGCGAACATAGCGTGCAGAAAGCCTATAGCTTCAGATATGTAAAAATCATGTTCAATTTGTGCATTTAGGACTAAGAGTAAAGGTCTCATTATTGAAATTTTTGAAATTATGATAAACAAAACTTTTCCGAGGAAAATTTTCTCGGCAAAATTTATTCTTTTATTAAAAAAAATTAATGTGGTATTCGTGGGGTTCGAACCCTAGCAATAAAAATTCTGAGTATCATTTTCTTTCGAGACTAGCACGCTAACCACTAGACTACACAAGTCCTGTTTAAGGGTGGCATTTAAATCATGTTTGCGATATGACCCTTGACTTAATGGACTTCAAGTATTTCTCGAAAAGATGCGAATGTTATGTCATAAAAGTATATTTTTAAGGTATAGTGGGTCATTGCTCCATATTTTTGGTAACCAAAAATGTATATTTTTACGCAAACGTTGAGGATTAACTTTCAAAAAGGTGGAGCGAAGACCCACTCATATCGAAATATAGTGTTATAGTATTAGAAAATGACTCTTTTTGCCCGCTTTAGTGTGTGTCTAATATTTCACAGGCAAATAATTTCAATCTTTGGGGGATTTTTGCAAATTGTAGAGATTTTACATAAAATATATTTTAATGTTAGACGAAATATCAAGGAAAATTTTGATATAATTGAAATTTAATTTTTCATCTTCATGTTTGTCACACTATAGGCTTATCGCTCGTTATGTTCACCCATCTCCTTTATTCAAAAACCTCTACACCAGAAGAAGAATACACTTGCTGTGGCCTTCAGTTCGATATACTAAGTACATGCATATCTATCGACGACCTTTATTAATTAACAATAGTTACTTCCTATGGTATGTCAACTCGAAAGTGAAATAAGACAGCACAGTCTGCCACATCTGTTACACATTTGGGTGTTTTACTGACTGTAGACGATAGGGGCCAATTAACAAATAAACTGTGACAAACGAGACTATGTAACAACTATGACAAACGAGATGACTTCAGCTTTTCCATTTTTATGCAGTAATATTCCATGTCACCTGCATATGGTGTTCTTATCTCTCAACTTATTCGATACTCAAGAGCATACTCTGACTACGATCGATTTTTAAAATCGAGGCAGGTTACCGACAAATAAGCTAGTGTAACAGGGATTTCAACAACTTCAATTAATGTTAATGCTCGTTATAATGACCCTTGTTAACAAGCACATACAACCTATTATCGGGTCGTATTTTGACTGACATACCAACTGTAAGGCCTTTGATTTTAAACTAAAAATGACTATGGGTTATTCCGTCTACCTGATCAATACATAGGGCTCGTGGCGGATGTGTCCGGTCAAAAGGGGATGCTTACTCCGCCTTGGCACCTGATCCCACCTCTGGAATTCCAGAGGTCCTTATTTTATGCCTTTTTCAAATATTTGGTGAAAAATCGTGAAAATCTTATGTGTTTTTTACAGACATGGTCAACATCTGGTGTTGTTACTAAAGGGCTACCGAGACAGCTTTAAGGTGAGTTGTTTCAAGATTTTGTACCATTGAAGGATCACACTTTATAAGAAACACACAGCATATTGAGGACAATTATACATTTAGTTGAGTAATATATGAATAAAGCAGTCTAAGAAAACAGTGTTATGCATTAATGCTTTTTTTATCATAGAGTCAGCTTCCATTGCAATTTTCTTCATCAATAAAGAACGAAACGTGGACAGGAACTGCCTTGATACCAGCTTCCTACTTTCCACCAAAGGTTACGAAGTTTAATGCGTACGCAATCCACGGATCAGGAGCAGGAAGAACGTATGAAGCCTTATATCCTGCTGTTGGCAATTATACTGATCCCGATTTGTAAGTTATTTTCTCATCGGACTATTCGTTCAAAATCTATTTTCAAATGGTTATTAGGAAATAAATTGTATAATGCTAATATCCAATGAATATATTCTATTTCTAAAATCTTTGTTATAAGTATGAATAAGCCCAATGAATACACTCAATTAATCGTACTTTGTAAATAAATGTAAGAAGTACATGTATTGCATCTTTATTGCAGTCACAGACTTGAATGCTTCCAAAGAATTGACTTCAGAAAGCTTGTTCCTCAAAACTGGGCCTATAATTACAGTTCAAAAGAATGGAATCCAGTCTTACATGTAATTGGTTAAAAAAGGGATCGTGACATCAAATCTAATATTTCTATTAACATGTCGTGAGCATGTGATTAATGCAGGAGGTCAACACAATCTGGTTCCAGGTTAAAGTTGCTGAAATGTTCTTCCATATTTATATTATCAATGACTTAATAATTCTCACTGAGTACAACTTCACTGATATACTTAGCATTCCATTTGATAAAGATCTATTGTACACTCGAAAGAGTATTCTTTGCTTTTATTTCTTTGTATCAAACAGCGGCTAGTATACATGTAGCTCTAAAGTTCGAAATTAATACAACCTTTTATATCACATTGCCAAGGATAGAAACTTGACTGTCCGTCCTACAACTGTTCTTAATCACAGTGCAGCTTATAATGGTGTCATTTTCTGACTAATATATAATTCTTTATTACATTGTTAAAAGTCGTCAGCATGTCTAAATAAAAACTAATTCCAAATTCTAAAATCTAGTTTTTGGAAAGCAAGTAGGAAAAACTGTTATGCGAGTCGAAAAAGTAAAAAAAAAAAATGTCAAGGAATTAGAGTTTTCATTAAAAATCACATAGAAATTTTTATGGATGACTAATTTAAGTACACACTAGTATTATTTCAAATGCTGATTTTCAGATGTTAAAAGTGAGTCTGGTGTGCATAGGTCCTCTGTTGTCTGTTTTCTACCTTGCAAGCAGATTTAACCACGACTGGAACAATATATCGTCACGTGGATGAAGAGAACCAAACGAAATGCCATGCCCTGCATCCTTTTCAATGGAAAAACATAGAAATACCTGCTCCCACCTCTGGGATTTTCTGGGGGTCCGTGTTTTATGCCCTGTTCACAGATTTGTACTGTTTGCAGATTTTTTGAGATCGATCACCGCTCTTTACCTTTTTTATGCCTCCGTATCGAAGATTCGGGGGTATATAGTTTTTGCCCTGTCCGTCCGTCTGTCTGTCTGTTTGTCCGCAAAAACTCTAACATTGCTCATAACTTTTGATTGGTTAGAGCTATGGCTTTCATATTTCACATGTGTATTTCTTGTGACAAGACCTTTCTTTGGGTACCATCATATTTGACCTTGACCTTGGAATTTGACCCAGTTTTACAAAATTTTATCCAACTGTAACCTTGGCCATAACTTTTAAACAGTTGGTGCTAGGGCTTTTATACTTCACACAAGTAATCCTTGTGACAAGACCTTTCTTTGGATACCAACAAATTTGACCCTTTGACCTTGACCTAGGAGTTTGATCTATATTTGAAAAACTTTTACCTTGGCCATAACTTTTGAACGGTTGGTGCGAGGGCTTTCATACTTCACATGTTTAATCCTTGTGACAAGACCTCCCTCTGAAAACCAACAAATGTAGCACATTGACCCCGACCTTGGAGTTTTACCTACTTTTGGAAAACTTTAACCTTGGCCATAACTTTTGAACAGTTGGTGCTAGGGCTTTCATACTTCACATGTGTATCCTTGTCACAAATCCTTACTTTAAATACCAACAACTTTGACCCCCTTAGCCATATCTTTTGAATGGTTGGTGCTAGGACTTTCATACTTCACAAATGTATTTCTTGTGAGAAGGTCTTTCCTTGGGCACCATTAATTTTGACCATTTGACCTTGATGTTTGACTTACTTTTGAAAAACTAACCTTTTCCACATCTTTTCAATGGCTGCTGCTAGGGCTTTCATATTTCACAAGTATATTCCACGGGACAAGACCTTACTTTGGGGAACAAAATATTTGATTTGCATTTGAGAAAGTTTAACCTTCGCTATAAGTTGCCATACGGGGGCATCAGTGTTTCACAAACACATCTTGTCATTGTATAGTGAAATTAGACTCTTGGTCCTTTACAAATTTCTTTCTTCATGGTCTTTAAAAATATGTAACGCATTTTGGTTTGATGGGGATAAAACAGGGAACAAGTTTTACATACTAATACTAGTATGTAAGATGTATCCTCTTCCGACGAACAACAGGACAGATGTGCAAACATTACCATGTGGTGTAGATTAAAAAAATGTTTAAATCATAGCCCTGGTTTAAGATAACGCCACAGTGTCGACCAACAAAACGGAGACAGAGCTAACCTTTCTTGACATGGCAGATACTGAGATTCTATGTAATTCGATATTTTACGACTATCGTAATAACTAGTCACACACACGTGTATTAAAATAAATTGTTGTATGGATAATATGAATAAAGTATATATATGGATAAAGTATGGATAAGAAAATTGTTGAAATTTATTTTCATTAAGTTTATTTCATTAGTTGATTCGAAATCTTGTCCGTTATGTTATACAAGTATTGTTAGATTATCTCTGCTTAACTTTGTCCTTTGAATTGCTTAGTAATTCGTAGGAAACATGCGAAAGTGACATTTCTTCTTAAAAACTGTACTCTGTTCTCAAAAACTTTTGTGTAGATCCGGCTTTGCAAGTTCATGGCTATATGTTGGCTTTCGATAAAGTCATTTATATGTTCAGATGTATTATTGTAAGAATTTGCTGTGACTTTTAAGGATTAACTTATCAAGATTGAAACTGTACTAATTCTATATAGAGGAAAAAACCTTTACTTTGCAACAAGACAAAAAGACCAAAATCAAAACAGCATTTTTCATTATTTATGAAAGGAAAATGTACTTGTATATGCAGCACTTTCGTCAATGTTTATTATTAGAATTTCTATAGTACGTAAGAAATTTTTTTTTTGCATTTGTTATTAATTCACTTACACAACATTTCACACGAATCGTATCTTGGAAACAGCTGGTTTGATAGCGATGAATTAATTTAGAATTCGATATACATTTGCATTCTCAGATTTGGATATGAAAGGTAAGTTTACAAATTATAATTTAGAAAGCTTATACTGTTCAACTCCATCAAATTACATACCGATTCGTCGATGAGTTGAAACCAATCGTATGTCAAACAAATTATTCGATTTTGCTGTCAACTATAATAGTATCTGAAATGCTCTTGGGCCGTTATAAATAATGTCAAGACAGATGTTACAGGTCAAGAGTGACATATAGTTTGAAGCATTTTAGCATCTTCAAAATTGACATTTCAAAGCCAATGGGTTAGAAACGTATTTCACTAGCAATTTGATAAAATCTCATTGGTTGAAGTAAAAAAAAAATTCTGCATAACTAGTTGCTAAAATGAAAGTCATAAAAATGTTATTAATACGAGCGTAAGCGTTTTCTAAACTAAGTTTAAGGACATACGCAGCATACCTTACCTACTGATATTTATTTCAAGATATTCTTAATTTAAGATTATAGTGCCATCAGATGTTCTCCGTAATTTTGGAAAATTTTTGCATTTAGTTTTTAAGTTAAGAAACGAAAAAAAAAGCTGTGATCCATTCTTCATTTGTCCTATCTGTATATATGTATTTATTATGTGTTACAATATTTGTACTTTTTTTTAATGTATAGAAGCGCCATACCATGCAAATTTGTTATAATATATGCGCTGCTTTTCATGTACAGAAGCGTCATACCATACCATTCTGACTTTTTCTGTGTAAAAAGTTATAAAATTGTGATAATACGTATGTATTAAGCAAATAAATAATAATAATAATAATAGACAAAAAATCAGCATGCATTACCAGGGGTTTTGAAAAGATATCAATTGATGAAAATTCTTGTATAATTCAAAGAAAAATACACAAAAAAATTACAAAACATATATTCTACATGCTTTGTTTATCCAAACTTGTTTTAGAAGAAGTGTGCAACAGCATATATAGACATAAAACAAGTAATACACAGTTCCTTTAAGTGTTGGAACTCTTCAACTCAAGGGGAAAAGACAATAAAGTTCAAACAACGTTGCGTATGCCCTTGATGTGATTTCTGAGGGACAACTCTTACGATTTTAACTTTATTCACTTGTATTCAGACTGTTGAAATATTTTTGGACATGCAAGTATCAAAAATTCATTTTACTCTGAATTTTTCTTTCTATGATGCTATAATATACACTCTAAAAACTATAAGGAAATATTTATGAATGAGAAGCATATCGATGAATGCATATAAAAGCATGTTTCGACAACAGATGAGCAGAAATGATTGATTATTTTTATACAGTAAGCCTGCACTAGATTGATAGGTCGTAGGTTTGCTACGGTGATGTAATACTACAATGGGAATTATTATTCAAATATCAAGATTAAAGGTATTAAATATTCGATTCAAATTGTTTCTCAACTATAACATTGACCCTAATAAAAAAGAATGTTTGTCGAATGAAACTGAATAATTTTTGACAACTTCTGATAGCAATAAAATTTACAAAATAAATAAATAAATAAAAATTAAAAATCGTAAGAAATAAAAATATCTAACAAATTTTCGAACATTTCTATATAATAATCGAAAAAAAAAGTAATTAAAAAAATGTTTCAACAAATATGTTTACTTCAACTGCAAAATTTAACTCGACATTCATTGTTTGAAATGATGAAACAACAATTTTTTTTTTTTTCGGAAAACGTACTTTAACGATCTACAACCGATTCATTTTGTTGCTAGAAAATTTTCGCTTGGAGGCTTCACAGATGACGTAAATTCACGCAACATTAATTATGCATGTAACTATGTCAATTAAAATATGCTGTTTTCTTCACAATATATTTGCAAAAACCAGAAGACCCTAAACGATGTTACAATTGGCACATGTAATAATTATAGTTGCTACATGTACATGTGTTGTATTCGCCTTGACCCAGGGAGCAGAGGAGTCGAGGAGAAACCCGAACAGGAAGAGAGGTAAGACTCCCCCAACTTAAGACTATCAATAGCTTTATTATGTCAAACTGACTTTTGTTTAACTCCAAAAAAACATTTTTTTTAATAAACAACAGCACTAAGGAAACTTTAGATAATTTTCTCTAGATAAGTAGACTTTAAACAATAACTTATTCAGGTCACGATAGTGGGTGAATACTTCACAAATTAGGATGAAAACTTATAAGATTTATTTTGATATAAATAAGACAGAAAAAGTTACTTGTATTTAATTATAATGTATATTATAAATGAAAATTGCAATTGTTTAAGTGGGATTTAGTGCAAAGAAAAGAAAATTTGGGAATAAACTCAACCGCAGCATAACAATCATTTATGTAATTTGTCAAAACACTTCAGAGATATTTGTTCTTTTTCCCTGGTGGAGAGCTAAGAGGAACAATGATGAAGTGTTGCCTTAAGAATTTTAATATAATGGATTACATTTTAATGTATGAGAAAAATGATCCCTGAAGCTAAAAGTAGAGGAACTGCAAAAACCTAGGAACACAAACGTATGAAGTTAATCTGTTAGTAATCAATGTTTTTTTTCATATCCATGGGCATGGTGTATCCTGTATAAAGCTCTATAAAAATATGAAGTTCGAAATATTTGGGAAAACAAAACAACTTTCACGGGCTAACTGTTCATAATAGTCTTAAATTAAGAGAATGTCTCTAGATTGTTGGGAGGAGAAAAGAATTTTATACATATATTAATGAATTTTAACTTATCCCCACCCTCAGGTCTGAATACTGAACGCAGGGTACATAAATTTCACAATTTTGGTAGAGGGATAACTAGTTATCAAACTCATACAAGACGTCAGCCTGCTAGATACCCAGGGCTTAAGATTTTCAATTATTTGAATTTTCAGAATAATGCCAACTTAGCCATAAGGTCGGCCTGAGCACATCACTCTTGAATTTATACTAAGGGTTAACTCAGTAATAATTTTAGTCATGCAGTTTGCTGGTTGCCCAGTTGTAAAGATGATTTTTAATGAGTGCATCAGTTTTGATAATTGTCCTTTTCTTGACCAGGGATTCGGACCATGAAATTCGTAATTGTTGTTTCATTCAATTTTCAATTTTCATAAATGTTATATGCAAAAATTGGATGAAAAACTGAAGATGTTCTAATTTTTACGACCAGCACACGTCAATGGACCAAAAAAAAAAAAAAGGGACAGCAAAAGGTCACTTGAGTCTCAAATCACCTTAGAAAGCCATATTTGTAATATTAGTTCATTTGCATGTGCATTGAGCATTGACTCTTACTCTGCCTTAATTTCTGCAATGAGTTCAACTGAAAGTACCATGAAGGCACTCACCCCCTTCTCAGAACCTTAAAATAAAAAAAAAATGCTCAGAGTGGGGACTGGTGGGACATTCCATTTTAAAACTTGATAGGTACTATGTCGAGGTGTTTGGTCAAAAACTTTAAGCGCACTTTAACATAGGCCTGAATCCAACACTTTTTGGGATCCATGTATTCGAATTTATATGACTACTAAAAATTCCATTCAAATGCTTCAAATATATATTTTAATTGAAGACTAACTTTTTGTATCATTCAATACTTTCAGCTGATACTATATGTCTAAACTGTGAGGAGAATTCGTGTGACAACAACACTGGATTATGTGATCAATGTCTTAGAGGGTTTTACGGCGAGAAATGTGAAGACACCTGTCCAAACACATGCCCAGAATGTGACCAGTATACCGGTCAATGTGTATCCTGTAGGGACGGCTGGTTTGGTCCTCATTGCTTCTTCAAATGTGTTCTCTGTTTTTCTTGCCATATCGTCACCGGTGAATGCACTTCCTGTAAGCCGAAAAAATGGGGACCGTTTTGTCAACAGGACTGTGATCGTAACTGCTATATCTGTCAAACACAAAATGGAAAGTGTGTTCAATGTGCACCCGGATATTACGGAAGAAGCTGTGAAAAGCGATGTACCAACTGTTTTAGGGGTCTTTGCCGCCCAAGAACGGGAGTATGTCATTTTGGATGTAAGGCTGGATTTTATGGTAAATTTTGCCAGAGTCATTGTCCTTCAAACTGTAGATTGTGCGACAAAAACAATGGGAAATGCATACAAAAGAGACCAGAGTTTGCTCGAAAAGTCCAACAACCAGAAATCCGGACGAATAAATTATCACTACAAACATCAATTACTATCGAGAAAGAAAATCAATCAAGCTCTCAATCTCAAGTATCTAAGCCGGAAACTACTCCAAAATCACCAATCAAGGTGTCTAAAACAAGAAAGGAAAACGTGTTCAAAAAGGATGGTCAGAAATCACCATCGAAAATATCAGGAACCCAAAGCGAGGCAAAATTACCAACAACTACAATTGCTAACGTTGAGATAAGTTCTACTGTTTCAATAAATGAAACGGAGTCAAATTTATAAGCGTTTGTAAACACAGTACCAAACACTGTTGTTTCTAGATCTGTATCGTATCCCAAATATTGCGGTACAGTATTTGATAAGAAGGTAACAAAAGTCTAAATAATTCTTTTGTCGTTACTTTACTGCAATTAGCTAAATCTATCTCAAATAAAGTTTGAGCTCTTCTTTGTTTGTTCATCAGAATATAAATTAAATGTAGCATTATAATCCTTGAAAGAGCTTGTAAAAAGCAACACTTGATATATCGCTCGGCCGTCATTTGTCTGTCTGTCCAGTTTATAAGAGGGATTTGATTTTCTAAGCATGTACATTGCTTGTCCCAAACCTACGCCTTTTCAATGGCATCATGATGCAAGATGACTTCCTAATGACATGACACTGTTCAGTATTTTGTAAATCCAAAATAACAAAATAATATTCATTAACAACAACATTGATATTGAGCGAGTACTTACATTGTCATGAAACCTTATTTCAATAAATAACAGTGAACTGACATTGCGTAATATTTACAATAATCTTGTTATTTCACAAAACCTGTTCACCACTTTTTCAATTACCAAACAGGGGAACATCTTACACATTATTCATGATAGATGGAGAATTGATATTTATCAACTTTTTCACAAGGTGGGCTAAAACGGAATAATCACAATGGTTGAGGATCAATAAAGGAAATTGTGAATCATATCAGACATTTTTTTCCAAATGTTAGAATAGTTGACCTAGCTCACTTATAATGAAAGCCCAGCAGCAGAGCTACAGTTGTAATTCTGGTGCTGATTTTATCCTATTCTATACTCTCAGGTAGCGCGTGTAGCTTTAGAATTGTTTGTCTATATTTGTAAAATATGTGAGAAAATTAAAGTTTTCATTACTCAGTCTTGGAAGTAAGCTGGATCTGAGAACAAGCAGACTATAGCAATATTTGTTGCCAGTGTTGCAAGGAAAAAGTAGCATCCACACGTTATATTAAACATTCTTCTGACAATGTATACATCTACAGTTATATCTGCTAGAGTTTTCGAATTCTTCCCTTCTTTTGACTCGTCTTCAAAACAATCATCTGCTGCTTTCACTGCTCTTTTCCTTGTCATGCACAACAAACACCGAGCAAATCTCTTGATGACTCGGGGTAACTCTTCCCTCTTCTGTTCCTTCATGTACAAGTATTGACTTACAACAACACACACCTGTATCAAAGAACTTGTTATGAGATCAACAAAGATTTTCACACTCAGCACAGGTATTTGTGGTCTTGATGCTTTTGGTAGTGCCTCGCTAAGCATGCTTTGATAAACTGCCAAAGACAGGAGAACGGTCACCGAAAATCCCACGCGCTCCCCGGAGTCGTCTGGAAGGAAAAATACCAGGAGGTGAACGAACCCCATTACTGCCGGGGGAACTACAACAGTTACAATGTAAATCGTAGATCGTCGCTCGTATTTCACTTCACCAATAAATAAATCAGATTCCGATGATGTTCCTTTCTCCACAAAAGCTTTTGCTGAAATTAGCCTCCAAGCGCTGCTGTCTTTGTAGGCATCTGTTACTAATCTTCTCTCCAAAACTTTCAGTTGGACATCATCGGAGGTATAGCCACTGGTTGAAAAGATAAACTGACAGGATTGCGTATCCACTGGGTAATACACTATGCGGATATCGCATGTACTCCAAAACATATTAGAGACTTCCCACAATGCCTTTCCATCATGAGTATACCTCACAATAAATTTTTCCACTCCCAGAGCAGGTTTACTGGCTAGAGAAGACATGGTGTACATATCAGGAACCCATATATCTCCCATTTGAAACAGAACTTTCTCAATTCCGTTGAAGTGCGTCGGATTCCACATGATTCTATCATCAATCCAACTGACCTCAAGTTTTGCAGTTATTTTCACTGTACCAGAGATTTCATCAATGTCCACTAGGTTATCAAGAGTCATTTTCATCGTAACTATTGTTGGTTCACTTTGATTTCTTCCAGGTCGCAATTTTTTATGGTAGACTGTGGTATTTAAGAGCGTCTGGTGAAGCGACATCATATCATCCAAAGAGTAGGAAAGGACCCTTGCAAATGTTAAAATGAAAAAGTAGACTACAATTGAGGCATTCATGATTAAATGTTGACGTCGTTAGATAGAGCTTAATTTTAACTCTTTATGACAATATTTCCAAAAGCCACAACCATTGAACAATATTTTATGGCGATTTCCCCGTTGATTCTGCATAGTTAGTAAACAACCCAATTAATTTCATAAAGTAACGATTGAAATACCTATATTCATTATTAAACACTTCAGATTCGTCATCTTCGATAATAGCAAATGTCTATCGAATTATCAATAAATTATAATAAGGCTGCCTACAGTGAGGTCATGATGACCACTAATTTAAAGCGTCTACTTCAATTGCAATCACCAGTGATCCATTTACAAAAGAACTTAACAACTAAAATCAACGATTCATACTGTTTCTTACATCTTGAATGTGTTTTTTTTTAAATATTTAAAATAGCTCTCTTAAAATATATTTCCAAATTCTGATTTTATCAGATTGTGTAGCTTTGTTACAACGCGAAATGTAATAACAACGCAATATGTAATAAACTGGGATTATTACATTTTGCGTTATTGCATTTTGCGTTGAGGACAACGCAAAATGTAATACACAAGGGAAGAATAGTAAGTAGCACACAATTTGTAAATAAAGTCAAAAACAACTTACTTGAGAAAAGTTACACAAATCCTCATATGCACTAGTGCAAATGATGTCCTAAAACTTATCCAGGTTAAAATATTCCAAATATATCCAATGTAAATAGTTTTTATCCAAATAAAACCCGTGCTTTCTGCAAAGTTTTGAACTCTTAGGCCAAGAAAAGATAATTCGTGCACAGACGACAACTATCGTTTTTCGGAAACTTTCGGGACTTTTTGTATCGAGAGTGGTAAATTCTAATTCGGCAGTGAAATGTCTAAAAAAAAAAAATCTGTCTTATGGTAAGCATGAAGACAATTTAATTTTAGAATCATTTAATCATCAAAATTCATTGCACCACCTTTGATTTTAAAATTCAAACAATTTATATCATTGTTCATACAAATGTATATTAATGACTTTTTCCACTTTTTAATGACTCAAAGAGTTAAGTCGTTCAACTTAAGGCACTGCTACATGTAATTGACATCATAATTATACATGGTTACATTATTGTTGTATGTACATATGAATGAAATATGGAGATAACGAACAGTATTCAAGCTCAAAAGTTCATTTAAACAATACAGATCAGGAGCAGAGCAAACACGGACCTCTAAAACATCAGAGGTGGGATCAGGTACCATGGAGGAGTGAGCATCCTCTGCCGACCGGTTACATCCACCGTGTGCTTTTTGTCATGATTGGGAACACGGAAAATCCGTAAACAATTCAGTGTGTAAATAATAGCCTAACGATTAGCATGAAAAACGTTAGTCAACATTTGACTTAATGATAGATTGTATTTGCTGACAAAGTCATTGTATCGACCATAGAACTTGATGACTTTAAATGAGACTGTTGATATTCTTGTTTCATCAACTTGTTTGTTAATGCAAGTAGCTTGCCTCGTTTTAGAAATTGTTCCTACGTAGCACATGCTATCGAATCAACTGAGAGACATAAACCCCATATGCACGTGATAAGGGTATATTGCTGCTTCAGTAAGGGAAGCTGACAATTGAAAAGTTGAAGTCATCACGTTTATCATAAAGTTTGATTGTTAGGTTACATGTACCATTATTTACTAGTAAATATCGACGGTCACGGTAGCTCAGTCGGTAGAGCGCTCGAATCACGGCCGCGACTGACCTAAGCCGATACAAAATAGGTAGCAACTGTTCCTTCGCCAGGCGCTCGGTACTTTTGAAGTGAAAGTTGCTGGTCAACTTCGGATGAGACCTTAAAACGCGAGGCCCCGTGTCACTGTAGGCGTTGGCACGATAAAGAACCCTCACTGCTCAATGGCCCTGAGTGCCAAGTAAAGGTCTCAATTTGAAGCCCTTCACCGCTATATGAGTGAAAAAGTTTTGAATGGGAGGTAAAACAACATACAATCAATCTAGTAAATATCCATATATGAAATAGACATGTCTATGGCATGTCAAACGTTGCAATATTCGATCTTTTCCATTTGTATTGTATAACTTTCCATTTGTATTGTATAATTTTTATTTGTATTGTATAATTTTTATTTGTATTGTATAATTTTTCATTTGTATTGTATAATTTTCCATTTGTATTGTATAATTTTTATTTGTATTCTATAATTTTCCATTTGGATTTTATAATTTTCCATTTGGATTGTATAATGTTTATTTGTATTCTATATTTTCCATTTGTGTTGTAAAAAAAATCATTTGTATTGTATAATTTTTCATTTGTATTCTATATTTTCCATTTGCATTGTATAATTTCTTATTTGTATTGTATAATTTCTTATTTGTATGCGATAATTTTTCATTTGTATTGTATCCGAGGATTGTTTATTTATTTCGTTACGAAGGATGTCATTGGTCATAAAATTTAGTCTGTATAAAGGTCTCAGGTGCCCATCACAAACTTACTCTGGTACCCTCCCCACAATTCCTATCGCGCACTCTCTACAAACACAAACTCGGCTCCTCTATTTGCGGTGCATGCTAAGGGACGCCCATTTGATTCTCGGGGGGTGTCGAATCCGATTATTTATTCTCATTCTCTCGCAGGAGAGAATATTTATTTCCAATATGACCAGAGACAAGGAGAAAACCAAAAAGAAGAAAATCCGCCCAAACCCGAAAACTCAGTTTTTTTGGGGTGGGGGTAGTTACCACCACTCAAGGTCAATTTATTTATTTTCTCAGTCAGCATTTCTAAGGACAGATTATTTATTTGCCATCTATAGCTACCAGCGCTCCCTTTTTAGAATCCAATGACCGTCTAACATGCACGCAAATACATATGCCGCCGAAATATGGCTGAAATATTACCGACTCGGCGTTAAACAATAATCAATCAATCAATCAAGCAAATATATATGAGCCCAGTTTGCTTTGAGCATCCGGAACATCTTCAACCCGATACAGGCTGAAACTTGACCAATGAAATCCTTCGTAACGAAACAAATAAACAGTCCGCGGATACAATACAAATGAAAAATTATCGCATACAAATAAGAAATTTTACAATACAAATAAGAAATTATACAATGCAAATGAAAATTATAAAATACAAATGAAAATTATACAATACAAATAGAAAATTATAGAATACAAATAAAAATTATACAATACAAATGAAAAATTATACAATACAAATAGAAAATTACACAATACAAATAAAAATTATACAATACAAATGGAAAATTATACAATGCAAATGGAAAAGATCGAATATTGCAACGTTTGACATGCCATACATGTCAGACTCTGTGGTATATATTTTTTTTATCAAGCTCACAGGGATATTTCGAGTCGACATATAAATGGAAGTGCATTGTAACTATTGATAATACGTCGTCGATATATAAATGTCGAGCTGAAGGCCACAGCAAGACTAGTCTTTTGTTCTGATTTGATCTGAACATATTTTATCGTATAATATATACAAAAGGATTGAATACAAGTTCTGTCAACTATATAGATCATTTCCTTGTTATATAAACACAATAAATATACTTTATGATTCTCATAACAAATAAATTGAAATAATTTACAATCATGGCATACATGACGTAATGTAATATATGTAAAAATAAAAGACACATACTCTGAATAATGTACCAGAGCTCTAATGTTGCATATACACTGATTACAATGTTTGTTGAACAAGAGAATCACATGTTTATTAAGGATTTAAAATTTTTCATTCTATATATACATATTGAAATCAAAGACATATTTTGAATTAGAATCTATCTGATTCTCGAATAAATTTTGGACACAACTGAAAATTTGAATATTTGCATCAGTAGACAAAGATTCATTTCCACATAATAAAAGATGAGTGTCTGTCATGGTTTGATTAAGTTTGGTCTGAGTATTTCTCTTATATACATAGGTGGTTGTTTAGGATGCAATTTAGGATGCAATTATGTCTTAAGTTAGTGTGAATTATATTCCTATAACGTTTTCCATATGTAAAATAAGAAGGTGGTTTAGAAGAAGGTGTACAGATTTTTTTTTAAATTGATTGAGAATGGACTTTAATTCTCTTACTCCCAGATTGAGAGAAATCCAGTTATTAATCACGTATGGGACAAAGGATTTTTTTTTCAAAAAAAAAAAAAAAAAAAAAAAAAAAAAAAAAAAAGATTTTAAGTCTATATTTTGGAATTGTGTAGTTTTCCATAATACTAGTATTGTATGATGAAATGTTGCCTCGAGTATTTGAGAAAATCTGTTTTAAGTAATCAGGGACAGTGTTGTTATGTATGTTAAACATTATAAACTAGTTAATTTTGCTTTCTTCCTTCTCTCTACAAGAAGTTCCCATCCCGTTTGTGAATAGAGCTATTCACTAGAAACAAAAATGGGGAGACCCGTAATAATTCGTGCGGCATTTAGCTGAACTTCAAATTTTTCAATATCATACTGTGTAAACTTTACACTGTAAAGCCATCCCAGACAACGGATGCATATTCAAGATGAGGCCTAACAAAAGTTGTGTACATTTAAGAAAGTGTATTACGTCCAAGAGTAAGTTTGATTTTTTTTAAAAGACCAGGTTTTTTATATGCATCATTTACAATGCTATTAATATATTCAAACCATCTTAAGTCTTGTGAAAAAAGTAATCCAAGATGTTTAAGAGTGGATACGCACTCTAAATGACATTGTTGAAAATATAATTTTCAAAGCTCAAAATTTTATTTTAGTGTAAAGAATATAGGTTTAGTTTTTGAAGGGTTAAATTTTAATAACCATTTCTTTCTTCTCATGTATAAGATTTGAATAAATTCTGCTTCATATGATTACAAAAATAGGTCTGCTAATAATGGGGCGCAATTACCTATGGGAATTCCGACAGATTGTTGGAAATTCTGGTCTCTAAAAACTACATAGATATTATCAATCAGAAACTCAAGCATCTTTTTAATGTCAACTGCAGAGTACTTGTGTGTACAATCAGAATGTTTTTAAAAACAAAATAATGTTGCAAATGACCAACGACAAGGTAAGTAAATTAACGAGTCCTATTTTTATTGAAAAAGCAATGATGTTAAAAATCCGGGACTTTTATTTATCGCGAGGAATGTTTGTATAAAATGTTGAAAAGTCGTAGTTTTTGATGCTATCAATTTTTGTAATATTTTGTGATTTCAAAATTTTTTAAAATTTCCTTGGAATTTTTAAGCATTCACATCTGATTTACACCACTTCTTGAATATGTTGTTGTACAGTACTCCTGAACTTTCTCCTTCACTGCTGTTAATATTTTATTGGGGAGTAAAGAAAGAAGCTTAGTAGAACATTTACTGGAACCCGCTGTGTATCTTTGTTTATAAGGATTTTTATGAAGTTTAGGAATCCAGGTCTACATCTTCGCAAGACAAGTTTTTTTTTTTCAGTCCGATTCATTGTCCACAAACGAGCGAAGCGGACCGAAAACCCTTGGCTTGCGAAGATGGTATAGGTATGGTAATTCAAATTCATTTTGATTGTTGATAATATTAAAAATATTTCAAACTGACATATATGATTTTGAACAATCTCCCCCTTAGTTAGAAAAAGAGCTATGGGATAAATTGGATTACCACTTGCAGAATTCAGACCCGTAGGAAGCAATTTCAGTTGGGGGGGGGGGGGGTTCAGCTATACATTTTCAGTTGAGGGGGCACTATCAACTACCAAAAATTCCTTGACAAGCAAAAAAAAAGGTCATCAGTCGTTTTTTATTGAGGGGGCACAAGCATATAGTAGCTATGTTTTCTATAGTAATCTATATATCGGCAAAATATTATTGGCTGTTCCTACGGCCATGGAATTAAATCCCAGTTCCTCTAAGATACAATTAAAATAATGAACCTTACAATCAAAGACAATGTTGTTATCTGCTTTGTCAACTGGGCTCGTACAAACTGATCGTGTAATCCTTCTAATTCCTAATTCTTTTTTTCACATCTGAGTTATTGAACACAGAAATACTTCAGTGAAGGTGACAATATGTATATTACAGTTTGATGATTTCTGTATCACATAGATTAAACTATTTTCAGTTCTAACATTTCATTGCATTTGAGTTGTTATGGCTGATAAGTCAACTTATTCTGGTGAGCATCTATTTGACGAGTAATAGATGGAAGACATTGTCTTTTTTAAAATAAATCATTCTAAATGCAATAAATCACGACTGCAAACTACCAAATAACGATTCAGCATCATATTCAATCTGACAAACACTCAAAAAAAAACAAAAACAAAAAAAAAAGAAGAAAGAAAAAAACTAATTGTTTATATACAAGTTCAACTCCCGTTATAATTAAAATATTTGATCTTTAATTATAACCGGCTACCTAAATAGTAAACAAAATAGTTTTAAAACATGAAATCTCAAATGCACAGGCACCTAATCTTACTATTTTTTATGTGCACAAATATATACTGAACATAACTTTGGTCAGCAAGTTTTTCTGATGTTAAACCCTATAAAACTGTTTTTGAGATTGATCATCAAAAGTTTTTAAACCTTCCGCGTCTTTAGGGTCAATGTCCTAAACAGTAAACAGTATGGACACAAAAAATGCATGGGGGGAGAGGTTATACCCTCCTTTTTTCCAAACACAAACAAAAGTCTTTTACTATTAATTTAGCATTTACAGCATTGATTTGTTAATTATGTACATTCAGAGGCAGGTTGGCCTCCCACCCCATTTTTTCTGTGGTAATAGTAAATATATCAGTATATCCCAGGGTTGAATATTTGGGGAGGGGAGTCACGAATACCTGTCTTTTTAATTTTTTTATTTTAATCACAGATGCTTTGGAACGCCCCCCCCCCCTCCCCAACGCGTTCCGTACCCCAATGGTTCTTTGACTTTTTAATAAAATATTTCTCTACTGAAACATTCACTAAGTATATTACAATTGAAAATTCTAAAATTTTATCTAAAACTAACTTTTATAAAAAAAAAAATCATCCTCTCTGATACTATAAGAGAAGATATGGAAACCTTTCCCTTTCAATCTGTAAGTAGATTTCGTCTTTATTTATTTACAATGTATTTTTTTTTTTTTTTTAATAATTTCCCATCAAGGTGTCGAAAGTTGCTGTCGAAATTGCCAACCTTGTTCTCTTTTAGTATCAGAGAGGGTGAATTTTTATTAAAGGTTAGTTTTAGGTTATATATTTTGGATTTTTCAATTATAATACTTTGTGAATGTGTCATAGAAAAATATTCTATATTTAAAAAGTCAAAGAAACCTTGGGGGTACGGTTCCGCCCCCAAGCACTAGTCCGAAATATCTTACGCTTTCCAGGCTTTTTTCACGATTTTGATATTTTACGTGCCAGGAAAATATAAAAATAGTAAAAAAGCCAGGAAAACGTCAGATATTTCGGACTACCAAGCACCCGTGTTTTAAATGAAAAAAAATCTTGGGAAAAAATAATTCAAAACCCTATTCCTCCAACAGTATTGGTCCGATTTTCAATAACATTTTATTGAGATCGAATCAAAACTGAAGGAGGAGTAGCCTTTTGTGGAAGGTCTAAAGACTATTTTCCGGAATGTTCACAGTTTTTTCAAGGATTCTAAATTTATGGTGCAGTCAATATATCCGGGAAGAAAAAATGAGTCGCTTTGCCTTCCGAAATCGTCCAAGAAAGTTATCTAAGGGCATGGGCCATGATTCTGGTCCGCCGGGAAGAGAAAGACGTTTGCAGAAAACTATTTCCATGCTTCTCCGTTTTCAGAGAATAGAGGGGAGTTGGGGAGTAATCAATGAAACAAGAGAGTATACTGAGGCTGTAAGTCATGTTCGAATTTCCTCGTCATCTTTCATATAGACCTAGTGACTAAGATATTTACTTTTGATAGGATCTTGCATACTATAGTAGATATATTCCTTATTTTGGTAGAGAATTAGAGTAGAAATTCAGATTTATCTGTCAAATTTGTGTTTTATTGATAGCGAAGCAACTTGGCAACATCAACTGAGGAAAATCGAGTTGAAATCTACACATTGTTCAAAGAAATTTGTAAAGATTTTCATGATAGAAGAAAATGTTAAAAGTCCTTTACTTGTAAAGATTTACAAAAAGAATTTCATGTATAAATTTTACTGCCTTGAAAATGGCATATGCATCCATATTGCAGTGGTGGATCTACAGAATATTTATTAATTATTATAATGAACAAAGAAAACTGTGCCCACTTTAATGGTTTTACAGTCAGATATATGAAGATTTTTCCTTATTTAAATATCTTTATTATAATCTTGATGACTTTAAAATTTACCGAGTTTATTTAAGTTTCTGTATTATTAAACTTCTCATTAACTGAATTAAGACTTAAAGAGCTCTGGGGATCTTCTTGCAAACATATTTTCAGAAAATGCAAAAAAACAGAGCCTGTGTCTAGACCTCAAAGAATTAAATTCTTCTTTTCTCCAACCATGCCAACACTGAACAGTAATGTGCATTGGAAAAAGTGGAAAAATCAAAAACAAAAAATCCCCTTCTTAAGAGTTCCTTTTAACCCTCATCACATATTGTGATGTCTATTAGGGTTATTTTATGAGAGGTATTACAGATCAACAGTGCTTTATCATATTGATTATCAAATAATATTGTAATCTATAAATATAATAATTAAGCAATAACTTAATACTTTTAATTTTAACATTAATTTTGAATTTAATTTTCTAAGGTCAATCATTATAATTTTTTTTAATATGTATTGAACCCCATTATACAACTTTTAAAATATCATTGTAATATCATTGTCATGTTATAGGTGCTATATCCTGCAGAAGGAAGCATTATTCGTGGATGCTGTTTATGTTTAGCATTCATTGCAGACAATGATATGACTATCTCAACTCAATATCTTGAATGAATCCTGTTAACCTTCTTAATGACAACAAATATTGAATTAAAATTAAGATATTTTGTCATGTCACTGTTGTCCTTTAATCAGGTTAATCTTTCAGTTCATTGTACATACAGTCAAATCTTGTTATCTCAAACTCAACGGGATTGAGAAAAACGTCAAGATATCACAGGATTCGAGATATTTAGTGTAAATACTTAAATAATATGGGGTTGGGACTTCCAAGTCACTTTGACAAATTCATGGTATTTGAGATATCAGTGTCTGAGATACCGATGTTCAACTGTGTTTTTTATTTACAGTGTAAGCATTTGCATGTTTAAGTTTTGCAATCTGTTTTTAGCTTATTGAAAGAGCTATTAAAAAAGGACCAGAGGATCCTCGAATGATGGCATTGGCAAACCACTGGTGTTTGGTAAGCAATACCTAATTTCTGATAATTAAGTTCTTAAATTTTTAGCTCACCTGAGCTGAAAGTTCAAGTGAGCTTTTCTGATCACATTTTGTCTGTAGTCCGTCTGTCCGTCTGTCTGTAAACTTTTCACATTTTCGACTTCTTCTCCAGAACCACTGGGCCAATTTCAACCAAACTTGCCACAAAGCATCCTTGGGTGAAGGGGATTCAAGTTTGTTCAAATGAAGGGCCATGCCCTCTTTCAAGGGGAGATAATTAAGAATTAGTGAAAAATGAATAGCATCTTTAAAAAATCTTCTTCTTAAGAACCATAGGGCCAGGAAAGATGAAACTCATATGGAAGCATCCCCAGGTAGTGTAGATTCAAGTTTGTTCAAATCATGACCCCCGGGGGTAGGGCGGGGCCACAATGGAGGATCAAAGTTTTACATAGAAATATATAGGAAAAATCTTTAAAAATCTTCTTCTCAAGAACAGTAAAGCCATGAAAAGTCATATTTATATGGAAGCATCCCCAGGTAGTGTAGATTCAAGTTTGTTCAAATCATGACCCCCGGGGGTAGGGTGGGGCCACAATGGAGGATCAAAGTTTTACATAGAAATATATAGGAAAAATCTTTAAAAATCTTCTTCTCAATAACAGTAAAGCCATGAAGAGTCATATTTATATGGAAGCATCCCCAGTTAGTGTAGATTCAAGTTTGTTCAAATCTTGACCCCTGGGGGTAGGGCGGGGCCACAATGGAGGATTAAAGTTTTACATAGAAATATATAGGAAAAATCTTTAAAAATCTTCTTTTCAAGAACAGTAAAGCCATGAAGAGTCATATTTATATGGATGCATCCTCAGAATGTGTAGATTCAAGTTTGTTCAAATCATGACCCCCGGGGGTAGGGCGGGGCCAGAATGGAGGATCAAAGTTTTACATAGAAATATATAGGAAAAATCTTTAAAAATCTTCTTTTCAAGAACAGTAAAGCCATGAAGAGCCATATTTATACGGAAGCATCCTCAGGTAGTGTAGATTCAAGTTTGTTCAAATCATGACCCCCGGGGGTAGGGCGGGGCCACAATGGAGGATCCAAATTTTACTTAGAAATATATAGGAAAAATCTTTAAAAATCTTCTTTTCAAGAACAGTAAAGCCATGAAGAGTCATATTTATATGGAAGCATCCTCAGGAAGTGTAGATTCAATTTTGTTCAAATCATGGCTCCCGGGGGTAGGGCGGGGCCACAATGGAGGATCAAAGTTTTACATAGAAATATATAGGAAAAATCTTCTTCTCAAGAACAGTAAAGCCATGAAGAGTCATATTTATACGGAAGCATCCTCAGGTAGTGTAGATTCAATTTTGTTCAAATCATGGCTCCTGGGGGTAGGGCGGGGCCACAATGGAGGATCAAAGTTTTACATAGAAATATATAGGAAAAATCTTCTTCTCAAGAACAGTAAAGCCATGAAGAGTCATATTTATACGGAAGCATCCTCAGGTAGTGTAGATTCAATTTTGTTCAAATCATGACCCCCGGGGGTAGGGCGGGGCCACAATGGAGGATCCAAATTTTACTTAGAAATATATAGGAAAAATCTTTAAAAATCTTCTTTTCAAGAACAGTAAAGCCATGAAGAGTCATATTTATATGGAAGCATCCTCAGGAAGTGTAGATTCAATTTTGTTCAAATCATGGCTCCCGGGGGTAGGGCGGGGCCACAATGGAGGATCAAAGTTTTACATAGAAATATATAGGAAAAATCTTCTCAGGAACAGCAAAGCCATGATGAGTCTAATTTATATGGAAGCATCCTCAGGTAGTGTAGATTCAATTTTGTTCAAATGATGACCCCCAGGGGGGGGGGGGGTGGTAGGGGGGCCCAATGGGGGATTGAAAGTTTTACATAAGAACGTATAGAAAAAAAAAATTCTTCTCAAGAACAGAAAAGCTATGTTAGTCTTATTGATATGGAAGCATCCTCGGGTAATGTAGATTCAATTTTGTTCAAATGATGACCCCTGAGATAGGGAGGAGCTACAATGGGGGATCAAATTTTTACAAAGGAATAAATGGGAAAATTCTTTTAAAATCTTCTCAAGTACAACAAAATCATTTGTTATATTGACATGAAAGCATCATCAGGTAGTTTAAAATTCAAGCCCCCCCCCCCCCCCCCCCCCCCCCGTTCATAACTGAACTGATTTGTGCCTTAGTATAGCCAGTGTGCTCAGGTGAGCGATGTGGCCCATGAGCCTCTTGTTTTAAACTGGATTTAACACTACATTTCTGTACTATCCATTTTAAAAAATCAATAAAAAAATAATTATACTTGTATGTTTATTTACAATTCAATGAGGTCTGATATTTAAAGTCTATCATAGTTTAATCCAAATTTAAAGTATATTATGATCAAGGCTTAATTATATTGTTTTATATCTCATTACTAGTATTCATGTGATTAGGAATAATTCTATATACGACAAAAAAAAGAAATGTTTCAAACATCTAATCTTTTTATGATAATGGTAATAATAATAATACAGGTATCTTTATTATTTGTTCATTCTCTTTAAAGCTCATAGCCTTGAACAAGTTTGAAATTCTTTAATATTTCCATACTTTGCTAGATCATGATACACATTGAAAATACTTAGTATATATCTACATGTACTTTGTCATTGAAATTTAATAACTAGATTAGAATTCTCTATTTTACTTTGTTTAGTATCATATGAAGCATAGGAGTAGGCATACTAACCAATTTCATCCTGTTTTTTTTTTTTTATAACAGGTATAACACAGACATTTTTTTCTTTATTGAAAATACTGCTAAAATTGATCAATGTTGTATCCCATCTCCTGTGTATGGAGTATAAGAAATATGAGGATTGTGAAAAATACATGTAATAGTTAAACAAAACCAAAAATTAGATACAGTGATTATTACATGTATATCAGAAGTACAAGTCGTTATCATAAAAAGTGTACTGCTGTCCACTTGTCATAGAGTTATCTCTCTTGACTTTAAATGAACTAAACATACACGTATACAGATATTACTCTTAATATTCCGAAAATTCATTTTGTAAATACTTTGATTTAGAAGCTGTCAAATCACTGGATGATTTTTTTTTTAATTTTGAAGGAAAAGGATTTAGTCCATATGCTATTTAAGGAATATGTACCCAGATTTAGTCAACCCATGTATCAAAACAAGCCATACCTTCAACTGTATCGCATAGAACTGCAACCTGGGAAACAGTATCTGCAGAAGATGGCATGTTTGGAACTCAAAGGTTTGATTTCTAGCTTTAATTTATGCTTGTAGGATGGTATAATAGTAAAATTAAATTGAAAGCATCGTATGAAAAAAATGGCTTCCTTTGCTATTTGAGCACTGCATGTAGGCCATGCAGAGGATGAGGCGATCTTAAAAAGGACCTTCCATGTTAATCCTTATCAGTTAATGCATGTCGGAAACAGTGAGAAAGTGGAAACATTGACAGAGTTGATGAATGACATAAAAAAATTCATCTAATTAATCATCAGTGTTTAAGGGGAATAGTATATATTAGTAAACCAATATCAAAAATCGAACTGGCTTACTTTGTACGGGGGTCAAGAAAATCATCAAACTTTCAACCCATCAGTAAAACCATACTGACATTAACTAAGTACAGTAAAACTTGTCTAATTCCTATGGAACCAGCTGTGGCAGGATAAGATATGTTTTACTGTAGATTTATATTATTGCAGTGTCTATGAATATCAAATAACAACTGTAACAAAAGGTTCAAATATGATTCTGTGTGCATACAGAAGATTTGATCATGTAAAATTGCTTTTAAAGAAGCTTAACTGTCCTTTGATGTATTTTTTATCAGGTAATCCTTGGCCAAAAGTAAAACCAGAGCCTCCAAATACAGCAGGTCAGCTTCATAATGTGCTACTGAAGGCATTCTTTGATGACAAAAGAAAAAGTTCACATCTCCGTCCTCATGCAAGTGCCCAGCCAAGCCTGGATGATGTTGTTGAAGGAGTAGAAAAATTAAGTGTTAATAATCAAAAACTTCCTAAAGAAAAAACTGATAGAGATACAGCGAGCATTGAAAATGACAAGGATTTTAAATCCTCATCTGGTGATACTGATCTGAAGATTGGTGAAATTTTGACAGAAGATAAAAAAGATTCAAATCCATCAAATGCTGAAAATAAAATGTAAAACTTTTATAGATGTGTTGTGTTTTTCAAGTTAGGCTTAATTTTTTATGCCTCCTGACAATAGATTTAATCTTAAGGACATTTTATTTCATTCAATGTTTCAAAACAAGATGAGATAACAGAGAGGAAATAAAGGGTATTCAATGTTTTGTAGTTGGATATGGACTTATCTCACGGATGGAACACAATTATTTTTAAATATTTCCACAAGTGTGAAGCATAAAGTGAAATAAATTCCATATCCAACTAATACGCTTTCTTTGGTTTGCTACCATGTGAGCATGGTGTATTTGACATTCGTGTGTTCCGATTATTTCACACCGCGAAAATAACACTTCATTTTCATAGTCATAGTGTGAAAAAATTTTATTCAACAGATAAATTGCAGTATAGTATTTTATTATTGAAAACGTAATAAACATGTTTACTTGTATCCACACGAATATTTTCAGTGCAAACAAATACAGCAACACGAAAATTTTTCACAATATGTTGATGATTTTTTAATTTTAAAAATAATTTTGCTTTAGAGATAATTTTGAAATGAAAACCATTTAAAAAGTAATTGACTATTTCTTACTGGTAATTGAGAAAACATTGATCACTAGTATTTTCCTAAAATATTTACCAGCTAGTGAGTCATGGATTTTTCAGACAGGTTTACCAGATTTACTTTCCTTTTTCATAAATATGCTCACTTTAATTTTGTTTAACAACAAGTTTGATTCTGTGGATTTCAGCTAGATACTTTTTCAACATACATTAAAGTCTATTGATGGACTTGTTGTTAGATGAAGATCATAAGGGCGCAAAACATTTTAGCGGAGTTTCCAAAGGTGTGACGGAACATATGCAGGCCTCTAAGTGACCTCTAAAATTTAGGCACCAGCCGGCTCCTTATCAAGAAAATTAGGTGGCAAAGCAAATTTTTAGTCGCCAGGCAAATTTTTCTTAGGCACCAATTATAAGAGCTGCTATGAGTCAATATAGAGACTGATGGGGGTAGACAAGGGGAGGGGTGTCTATTGAGAGTATTTGTCCCTCCTCCCAAGTCGGAATAGTAAAGTAGGAGATACAGTAACTAGGAAATGTTCAAAGAAGAATTGTGAAAAAGACCCTTTTTGCTTTGCAAATATTTTATACTTGATTGAAACCTCCTCCCACAATCTTTTGACTGTCCACAAACAATTAACGCATTCGTCAATAAATAAATAATTTTTCTTTTTTAAAATCGCAAAGTAAAAATTATCATGAAATATAAGCCAGTTAAATGCTAAAAGATTTTTAAACCTGAGCATGCTTGTAAACTCTAATGTTTTTTAAAAAAAAAATAATCGATCATTTCACTTTTAACATTTCTTTTCGCCTCTGCAGAAAAATAATTGTAGAAATTAATTGTAGAATGTTTAAAGTTCTGGAATTTGACGAGTCAGTTTAAAATGGTCGCCAATTTGCAACTTATGGAGAAATTTTAGACGCCAATCAAAAATTTTAGGCGCCATGGCGACTAAATTAGTTGTCAATTAGAGTCCTGATTAAATAGCGGAAGAAAAATTGGTATAAATTTAGTAAAAATGCAATTGGTATTTAAGCCTATTTTCTCCTTAGAAATAGTCAAACTTCTTTATCTCGAACTCAATGGGACAGAGAGAAAAACTTCAAGATATCCGAGGATTCGAGATAAGAAGGGTAAAATACTTAAAGAATAAGGGGTTGGGACTTCCAAATACATATCCATGGTATTCGAGATACCAAAGTTCAACTGTATATTCTCTTTTTTAAACATTCAATGTAAAGACAGTAAAAATTGAAAGGGTGACTGGTTATCCGATGGAAAAAGCTTTTGGTAGACCAACAAAAATGACGACAAACTGAAAAATCAGGTTTGAGTAATTCTAGTATGTGAGATTGATAACTCCGTTACTAATAGAAAATTAAATACAATGTCAAATTTATTCTTCAAACGAATATTTAGGTCACCCGAGTCGCTCACTATAGCTGTTTTGTGCGTCGTCCGTCGTGCGTTAACATTTGAACACTTCTTTGGAACAAATGAACCAATTTTAGCATATAGTATTTAGGAGTAAAAGGGGACAAAATTATGGATTTCATGATCCATGCCCCCGCCCCTTGAGCCTGAGGGGTGGGACTAAAACCATCAAAATTAATGCAATCTTTAAAAATCTTTACTCCTGGACATAAGCAGATGAACTGCTGTTATGATTGCAATAAGCATTGAGCCCTCTACCAAAAGTGTGAAATTCATGGGCCCTGGATTTAATGAAAATAAAGTGAAAATACATAAAATTCTTCAAAAATCTTCTTTTCTCTCTGCCCCCCCCCCCCCCCCCGGTATATTTAGCAGATAAAGAAGGTGCATGATTCTGGTGAGCAAGGGGTGCCTTTTCTGAAATTTTGTAATTTATGGCCTCTGGGTCAGGAGCTCCGGGGGGGGGGGGGGGGCTACTGTTTCTATTTTGAAAATGCTCTATTTCTATGAAAATCTTCTCTGCACCTGGAAATAAAGCAAACAATCCAAGTACATAGTTATAATGAGCAAGGGTGCCTCTTCCAAAATTGTGAATTTCATGGTGAGGCTCCATTGATTATATAGTGAAAACGCATCAAATCTTTAAAAATCTTCTTCTCTGCTCCTGGGTATTTAGCAGATAAACTAAGAGCATGGTTATGGTGAGCAAATGTTCTTGTTTAAAAATTGTGAAATCTGTGTCCCCAGGGATAGGGGTTCTGGGTTTTTTTTTTTTTGGGGGGGGGGGGGAAGTCTATTGATTACATACTGAAAATGCATTCTTTCTTTGAAAATCTCCTTCTCGGTGCCTGATTATTAAAGAACCAAACTAAGTGCATGATTATGATGAGCATGGTTGCCCCTTCCAAAATTGTGAATTTCATATCCCCTGGGCCTAGGGTTCTCTATTGATTATATAGTGAAATGCACTATTTCGTTGAAAATCTTTTTCTTTGCTCCTGGGTATGAAGCAAACAATCTACATACTTAAATTATGATGCCCCTGGTTCGGGGTTCTGGTGTTAGGGTGGGGATCTATTGATTAAATAAATGTAGTAGAATCACGATACAAGTCTTTGAAAATCTCCTTCTCTGCTCTTAATTATATAGCAGATAAACCAAGTGCATGGTGATGATAAGCAAATGTGTCTCTTCCAAAATTGTGAAATTTGTGTCCCCAGGGTCAGGGACTCTTTTGTTGGATTTGGGAGTGGGGGGGGGGGGCTCTATTATTAATTACATGGTGAAAATGTTGATTTTTTTAAAAAAAAAAAATCAAATTCATTTTGAGGGAATAAATTTATTCCCTCAAAATGAATTTCCTCCTTGAAGGTACTGAAAATCTTCGCTACCAAAGGATTTTCGGTCCATTATGCTGCCTTAAAGCCTAGTAAACCAAAAGCCCTTTCTAAAGCGGACTGTCATGGTATTTCGTTTGAAACTTTATAATCCACATGCTTTGAATACAATGCGACATAGAGTTTTCAGTCCTAGATATTGATGCATCTTGTGGACTTGGGGTAAGTTAAAGAAGGTTAAAATGACCTACTTTTAATTATGAATTTTGCCACTGTTTTTCAGCTTAGATAACAAGAAGCATATGACCACAAAACTTGTCAGTTGATGTGCGTTCGTCCCATGTATTTTGTTAATAAAAATATAGATGAAGCAGAACTTAATTTTTTTTCTGAGTGCAAAAATCAACGTCATTTTAGGTACATAGAGCACTGCAAAGTATAGACTTATTTATGTTACATTAAAAATTTAGATCTGTAAGTTAATATACGTATTATCTTTGACGGTAGTAATCGTTTTTTGCTTGAGATATTTTATTTATATTTTCAATTGTTCTCTTTTTCTTCTTCTTTTTTTTTTTACCATTATTCAATTAAATCACTTATTTTAAAAGGGCCAAAATTCAGGGAACCCCGATCTTTCAACTGGAATCATAATTTCATAAATATTATGAATTCTGTGGAAGATTACGCCAGGCGATGGGCCAGGCAGAAAAAAAGAAGACACTGACACTTTGTTAGAATGGATTAAATGTATATCAGATGTATGTTAAAATCTTGCATTAAGCGATTGAGGGGCAATATGAAAGCCATCTATCCTTCTATGTTCAATAATTCAGAAGTGAAAAAAGAATTAGCGTACACGATCAGTATGTGCTGGTCCCAGCTGACAAAGCAGGTAACAACATTGTCTTTGTTTGTAAGACTCAGTATTAGTCCCCTACCGGTGAAACCGGAGGGGACTATAGGTTTCCTCTGAGTCTGTCCGTCCGTCTGTCTAGCTGTCTGTCCGTCTGCCTGTCTGTAAGTCTGTCCCACTTGGTTTTCCGCACTTTTTTTCTAAACGTTTGCAGATATTGAGCTGATTTTTGGTATACGAGTGTATTTTGATGAGTTACAGATCAAGTTTGCATTTCGTTCCGCTTCAATGATTTTTGACGGAATCACCTTTTCAATTTTTTAGGGTTTTCCGCAGTATTTTCCTAAACGCTCGCAGATATTGAGCTGATTTTTTGGCATGTGGCTTTACCTTGAGGAGTTATAGATCAAGTTTGCATTTCGTTCCGCTTCATTGATTTTTGACGGAATTATTTAACGGGAACCAGATTACACTTGCCGGTAGGGGACTAGTATTGCTAATGCAATACTCTCAGAATGCTTGTTTTAATTGTATTTTAGGAGAACTGGAATTTAATTCTGCAAGTGGCAATCCAACTTGTACCCATAGCTCCCTTTCTAAGGAAGAAATTCTTCAAAATCATATTTCAGTTTTGAATATTTTTAATATTCCCAACAACCAAAATGAATTTGAATTACCATATTTATATTGGATTCCGAAACTTCATAAAAATCCTTAAAAACAGAGATACATAGCGGGTTCCAGTAAATGTTCTACCAAGCCTCTTTCTTTACTCCTCACTAAAATTAACAGCAGTGAAAGAGAAACTTCAGGAGTTCTGTGCAACAGTATATTCGAAAAGTGGTGTAAATCAGATGTGGATACTTAAAAATTCCAAGGAACTTCTGGAAATTTTCAAATCACAAAATTTTACCAAAATAAATAAAATATAAACTTACGACTTTTCAGTTTTTGACATCATTGACAGCTGCTTTTTCAATTAAAATCGTAAATTTACTTACCTTGTCATTGGTCATTTGCAAAAATTAGTTTGTTAAAAAAAACATTCTAATTGTACACACACGTACTCTGAATTAAGTTGATGTTAAAAAAGATGCTTAAGTTTCTGATTGATAATATCTATGTGGTTTTTTGAAGACCAGGTCTTCCAATAATCTGTTGGAATTCCCATGGGTACCAATTGCGACCCGTTGTTAGCAGACCTATTTTTGTATTCATATGAAGCAGAATTTATTCAAAATCTTATACATGAGTAAAAGAAATCTCTTGCTGTGGCCTTCAGCTCGACATTTAGATATATCGACGACGTAGTATCATATGCCGACTGACGTTTTTCATACTACTACTAGTAATTGTTAGGCCATTATTTACATATTGAATTGTCAACGGATTTTTCCGTTATTTCCCGTATGACGAGGAGCACACGGCGGGTGTGACCGGTCGGTAGGGGATGCTCACTCCTCCATGGCACCTGATCCCACCTCTGATGTTTTGGAGGTCCGTGTTTGCTCTTCTCCCGATTTGTATTCAGTTGTTTTATTGGACTTTGAGCTTGAATACTGTTCGTTATCTCCATATTTCACTTGCAGTTAATTCATTATCGAAAACTCTCATATTTTCAACCTTATTCTAACAATTCCACATCAGAAGAGCCATTGAAAAAAAATTCTGGGTTATTTACAACTTAAAATTGATAATCAACAATTTAAATAATAATAATTCACCTGATTGTGAGAAAATGCAAAAAAAAAAAGAAAGAAAAAAAGAAAAGAAAAGAAAAAAAAAATCCTCATGAATATTTGTATCCAGGTACATGTATATTCAAATCTGAAATGAATTCGATGTGCTTTTTCCTCAACTTTTTCTTTTTAGCTTAAGTGGTTTCGTTTTAATTAGATTTAGTTGATATTTTAAACTGTAGATCGTATCGTCAGTAAATATAAGTTTGATTTATAATCACACAAACATCTTCAAGGATCTACGGATAGAATTGCACATGTATCTTTTATTTTGATATGTAACCATAAAATACAAAAAAAGTCTTTGATCAACATTAGTCTTCATGTAAGTAACTATTCATTAAAAATGTCAACGTAGAAATAAACGATACTAAAACGAAGAACACTAAGAAAACCCTGTCCATTATTTGAGCCATGTTTTGCCATTCTTCTACTGACTCAGCTAATTTTTTCTTTTTAGTCAGAATATTTTCAATATTCCGGATAATTGATAATTGTTGTTTGACGACATTCATTATCTCATATGATGTTGAGGATTCTACAGTGTGTTCGTCAGGACCAGCCTCATCTACATCACGAGGGTCATGTGTGCTCGTGATTTCTGTCAAGGTGCAATCGTGCAAATGATGGAACCCGTTGTGAAAAAAATTACCAATCTTTTCATGTCGTGAGGCGTCTATTTTGTTTCCGTTCGTATGCTCGTATGCTTTATTGTCATGGTGTGTCACTTTTCGCTACAAAAATATAAGTATTTTATGAAAAGGGCTACAATTTTACACGCAAATTTCATCTCACTTTATACAAATTTTGAAGAAGACGTATTTACAAGAAATAAAATTACAGCATAAACCATTTTCACCTCTTTAAAGGAATTCCTCTGTGTTGGACTCTCTGATTCATTCCTTCTTATTTTTACGCACACAATTTTTGCCATTTTACTGAAAATGCGCCTCAGGTATGGTGGGACCTTTTTACCATGGCCTCCCTTAAAGTGAAGATTCAACACAACAACAGTCATCAAACATGACATGGACACCAACAGCATCGCACAAGTAAAATATGCTCCTACAAAAGAGAAAACAAAAACCAAATAATTTAAATTACAGTTCACAAAATACTTGTAACTCTATTATTTTCCTATTTTTTGTTAATTCACAACAGTTGTTACATTCATTAAGGCCAGACGACACGTTCCTCTGCCCACAATAATATACAATTTTTCCCAAGAATTTGTCACTGAAGTACTGCTACTTTTACAAGTTTCCTCACAAAAAATTGAGGTACCTTACCAGGCATTTGTGCAAGATACCAGAGGGTGGTGTTTCCTATATAATCCTATTTGAAATCACTTGAATTGTCAATATCATAATATTTATTTTCTAAGACGTGTTGAAAACAGTTCAGAAATCACGACATAATGTTAATATTATGAATATTTCTTATATTTTACAAGGAGAAGCAAAACAGATATTTGGGGAACGTATCACCAGACCTTAAATAATTGGTAAAATAATTCATTTAAAGATGCTTTTCTTACCAATGTATGGAAATGTCTCTGAAGATGGAGGCATAGTTTCTGAAACGACCATGAGGAAGACAGCCAAAGACAGTAACACTGTGATTTCTAACGACACCTTTTCCCCGCTGTCTGGTGGAAGGATAAAACCTAGACAGGCTACAGTGGAAATTAATACGCAAGGGAACACTAAATTCATCAAATAGAAAAGAGGCTTCCGTCTCATGTTTAAATAAAAAGTCACATCTGGATATGGTTCTGGGCAACAATTATAGTACAGTACTTTTCGAGTCATAGGTACTGACGTCACTTCCCATTCTACACTGTCTACAAATGAAGTCAGATCCGCCTCATTGCTTAAGCCTGATATGTTAAGCTCCAGGCCATGGTGTGCCCATGATCCAAACTGAAGTCGGCAGACTTGTTTGTCAAACGGAAAATAAGTGACGTCAACTTTGCACAAGCTGTAAAAAGAAAACTTAAGGCTCTTATTTTTCAGCAATAACTATACATAAGGAAAATGAATACATGTAAGCTTAAAAATGGCTACATGAATAGAGCATTACGTTTGATTTTAAACCTTTTTTTAAAAAATGCAATGTTCATTTTACCTGGAAGTGTTAATAATGGCCGACTTTGATTCAAACGTGCTATTTCAAAAAGAACATTTTTTTTCAATTTTAATCAGAATTTAGGGTACCTTTGCATAATTTTTTTGTTTACTATTTGTACACTGGTGGGAATTATTATTAACCCACATCCTAGTCGTTCTTTACCTAATGAACTATTTGTTATTTTATTCTTTAGCAAGAGTCCCATGGGTCTTGACGGCCACGTAAGCACCGTGAGATTCTCCATCTGAGCATGCCCAATCTGGAACGACCTGAACTTGGACCTAAGGACCACGATTTTCTCAATTTTATATGAGGGCTAACTGCTCATAATTATTATGTTTTTCATTTGAATTGCCTATTCAATATCCATGATCAAAGAAAACTAATCTTTCAGGTGGGTGCAAGACTAACCCAAACTTGTCACGTAGGCATATTTCATGAAGCGCGCTAGCGCTTCATGAAAAATATGCCTACGAGCAAGTCTGTGTGATTTAAACACCAATAATTCACACTAAACTTAAAAACATTCCTTATATTTACATTTTACATGTTTAAATGCGCCAAAAATATTCTCAATGTTTGAATTTCTCGCTGCACTATATCATCATATTTTAATTAACGTCTCTGTAGCCTCATTGTGACGTCACTTTAGCGCCAGGTTCTCCATGTATATTTCTACGCGTGAGGATACACAAAAATGGCTTTCAAATTTCACAGTTGGCTTAGTAGAACAACACAGAAATTGTATATATATATATATATATATATATATATATATATATATATATATATATATATATATATATATATATATATATATATATATATATATATATTTGATTCTTGTACTGTTACCTTGATATAATTGTAGGAAAATTATACACCATGCTCCCATCTGAGTAGATCGCTGGTCGATAGTCTTTCAGTCCTAGCAGCTGGCTATCCACACTGTTCGCGCACCAATAAAAGTTAATTTTGATACTTATGTAATGAGTAGAAACAGTAAAATTATCTTAATCTAAGTATAGAGAAGTAATTGTTAAAATTTGCGACAAGCTTATTTTTGAGGTTTTATTCCTTCATATGTAAATTTAAGTGTTGTTACAAAACAACTTTACTCTCATGAATGATTTTCAATTTCTGTTTTTTAAATTTTAAATCGGACTACCTTCCATAAAACTAATGAGACAAAACAAAGACATCAATGTAATATTAAAAATATATTTGAGGTATTCAGTAATGGAAGAATTGTTTCTTTTCCAGTATAAAGAGGACTTATTCCTGTTCCTTGGTCACAATCAAGCCAACTTTCTCTCTCTCTCTCTTTCTCTCTCTCTCTCTGTGTGTGTGTGTGTGTTGAGGTATCCTATGGCCATCATACTTGACAATCTAATTTGGTTTTGATTTTATTGTAGTGCGAGATAGAAAGATCTTTAAAAATTGACGTCATTCGATAAACAGCTTGTCAGTTGTTAATTAATTTAAAAACGATTTTATTTAAAGTTGGCATGTAATCAATTAGCCTGAAATAATAATAATTAATAATTATTGAATGCTTACTTGTCATACAGTGTAACGTCGGGTACCCAGACTGTACTGTAAGGCACAACCAAATGATCGATGCCATACTTAGATGCATTCCATCTCAAATGGCAGTCATTCCAGCGCTGAAACAAAAAAAATATACAATAAATTATAAACATGATCATAAACTAGCACATCTGACCTGTGAAAATGTTTTGGGAAGTTGTTGATGTTATATGGAAACATATGACTGAATCTGCTTTTCCTCACGCCATGGTGTAATTCAAAGCATAATTCCAAATATTTGCTGTAATTTTTTTTTAGACAATCTCTTTTATATGTGTAAGTTTAGAATGAATTTTTAATACTTTTTGGCCACCTACATGACAGTTGTAAGTTATCATGTATATTTCTCTTGTATGTCCTTTTTTTCTTCGATTTCTGAAATCAGATGCTCTTGTAATAACTGGTGCATTGGTATTTTCTGAGGTCATGAAGAGGGCATTATGTTATTGAAATTCATCAAGCAAATAATAATAAATCTTTGTACAAATTTAGACTCTTTACAGGCAATCAATTTAAGTGCTCAAAATGATTGATGCTGAAACTAATTCTTGAGGTATTCGTCGCACAGGCATCTTACACGTGACTTATAAGAACCCATTGCCACTATGTAAAAAAAATCAAAGTTAATTTAAATAGCTTCACTTATCTTACATCCCAATGAACTCGAAAAGACACTACAGAGTCTGCCACATCTGTTTCATTTTTGGATGTTTTACTGACTGTAGATGATAATGACCAGCAGATAACTAAACTATAAGACAAGCAGCTAAAATGACAATTTTTCCATCGTCACTTCCCTTTTAAAGTCAGCTTTTTGCAAATTCTAATTTCGTTATTATTACCTTGTTTGTAAATACAAACGTTTATGTCGTATATTGTCTGACATGTTTCATAACAATTGTTAGGTCATTGTTTTATACTAAAATTGACTACGGATTACTTTGTCAACAGGACTCAAGGCGGGAGTGACTGGTCGACAGGGGATACTTACTCCTCTTAGGCACCTGATCCAACCTCTTGTATTTCCAAGGGTCCAATGATTTTGCCCTGTTCACAATTCGTTTTGTCTACTGTGTTTCTGAGATTGATCACTGTTCGTTATCCTCACCTTTTACATATTAAGCAGATAAATCAAAATTGACGAATTAACAATGGATAACATTTTGTTTAAAAACATTCTCTCTCCTCTACATTTCTTAAGTAAACACAAATAAGGTTAAATAAAAAAAAAACATTGTTAAATATTTATTTGCATTTTTCGTATTAAAAAAAAAAAAAAAAAAAAAAAAAAAAAAAAAAAAAAAAAAAAAAAACAGCAATAGATGTATCTATCACAAACACAATTATATAAGCTTCTTGATAAGGGTAACAAAATAAACAAAACTATGTAACATCATTTTAATTTTGAATTTGAATATTACTGTTTCATTCTTCAATATCTGTTCAAATACTTTGCTTACTTGTTTGTTTATGGTACACTTTCATTGTAGAAGTTATTTTTAGGTAATTTTTCATTTAAAAAATCAAACAAACAGAATAAACATGTATTTCTTTATTTCTGCTATATGTTAATAAAGTGAATGCAACCCTCAAGTACTATTGTACCCATTTTATTGAGGGCATATTTAGCACAGTCCATTGCTGGATTTTTACAGTATTTGTAAAAAAAAAAAAGAAGAAAGAAAATAGAAGAAAAAACATCTGTTTAACCATTGACAATGATTCCCAATTTAAAAAATTTAACAGAAGGTATATCTTCTTACACCGTAACAGCCTGTGTTTACTAGAAAAACAGAAGCTTCAAAACATAACAATACTTAGGTCATCGACTTTCTGCAAACTGAAACCATTGAAGGTTGTTATAAGTATGTCCTTTGCTTAATATGGATTTTATTGGGCACGCAAGCAGTCCTCTAGATCAGTTACTGGATTTATATTAGTAATTATAAATAGATATACCGGTAAATGTATCGTATCGAAACACGCAACGAGTCATGTGTACTTTGATGTAGACTCTATCTTCAATTTTAACAATGATTTTGCGATGATCAGCCATTATTGTTTTTATTTTCAATAAGATAATTAAAAAAGATTGATTGATTGATTGTATATTGTTTTACGTCCCAATTGAGAATTTTTCACTCATATAGAGACGTCACCATATAGCGGTGAAGGGCTTCAAATTTTGACCTTTACTCGGCACTCAGGGCCATTGAGCAGTGAGGGATCTTTATCGTGCCAACGTCTATCGTGACACGGGGCCTCGGTTTTTAAGGTCTCATCCGAAGGACCCGCAACTTTCACTTCAAAGTGCCGAGCGCCTGGCGAAGGAACAGTTGCTACCTATTTTTTTTTTAACGACTTAGGTCAATCGAGGCCGAGATTCGAACTCACGATCTTCAGATCACGTAGCGAGCGCTCTACCGACTGAGCTACCGTGACGGTAAATTAAAAACAATAAATAACTTCAGCGAAATTCAACAAGAATAAAAGATATATTACCAAGCGTATCCATGCGTTGATTTCAATGATCTGTCTAGGTTCGTTCTGAAACATAAATAAACTAATACTTGACAACATTTAAAATATGATTATCATTACCAAAGACAGTTTTATTGCATTGAAGAATGCACTTATTGACGATAATTAATCAACCAATATTCAAGGGAGTCCCTTTCAATGATGTTAAATAATAATTTGAAGAAAAGTTCATTATTTTATAATAATAATTTATATGATATGCGATTACCAATGAGAGTCCTAATTTTATCAAAGCGGATGATTAGGAAATGTTTGTAGACATTTAGCCGTACCAGAAAAAACTGTTTGATTAAAAATAAGTTCTACTTCTGTTGAATTATCATTGTTCGTGAAGGGCCAATGTTAAAGGATTTTGTGAGTCACCCTTGCCCACGAATTTACATCCACACGAACAATAATTCTGTCCACGTATCATGTCATTGAATCATTTGTAGATTAGAGTTACTAACAAATTACATCCCCACGAACAAGCAAAACTTTGATTATTCGCAAACAAGCAAGTCAATAATTCTACGCTAAATGACCGAGAGTGACATTAGCATAAAGTATTTCTCTTATACGACATACATGAAGCCTACCGACACTATCCAAAACATGTCTTTGATTTTATGTAACTTTACTTCAATCGAAAACAAAATTGCAAGAAAAAATTTGAATAAGCCAAAAGCATTTTGGTAAAAAATGGTATAGAATATATATACATATCACTTAATCGATGTTATAGATTTGTGTATATGTAACAGAAAAAAAGGATTTAACTGTTCCTTAAAATAGTTCTCACACAATAATTGCTGAAAATTCCTCTCAGTAGAAAGTCTTCGGGTACATTGAAAAGAAAAATGCAAAAGTTCTTGATAATCTTAATCTACTATATATTATCTACAGTATATAATCATTGCCCCCTAACCCCCCCCCCCCCACTCATTTTCTCCCCTCTTGTCCCTGTTCTGCAAAAAGGGACCATGAATTGGACGAACATAAAGTTTTCTACAATACACAAGAATGAGCATTTTTTTTAGCCATATCTTGGTCCTGCATGAACTCTGATTCGACCGGCTTTCACAAAGTCGCATTTTTCTGCCTCCTAAATTTAGATGTTTTATATATAACGTTACATTTAGTTTTTAATTTCCTCTTGAAAGATAAGGGGATTTTACTATGATTTCGATTAAAGGATCAAATAGAAGATCCAATGCGGTTTCAAATGCAAATCAGTGTCAGTTAAAGGTCGAAACCCTTTTACAGTGTGATGTTCAGTCAATATTGAAGTCTCTCGATTAATACTGACTTTATAACAAAAATGTAATTAAAAAAGGATATATATTAAAAGGATATGGTCTATAATTCTGCTAATTTTTGACGTTGTGATTAATACATGTAACAATAAAAGTATAATGAATCAGAATGTATTTTAAATAAAAAAAAAACTTTTCCAACAAAAATATCATTGAACTGGACATGAATATCATTAACTGAGCAAATTGTTAAGGTATTATATTTATATCTCCTGTGCATTAATACATATAATATTGTTTCATAAGAATTTACTTTGAGCAGAATGGTTAATATGCATATATTAAAAGGATAAGATCTAGTAAATGAAAGGTGTCTTCAGATTTCTCAAATTTGAGAAACGAGTTCTTTCAAAGATCCTTTACAAATATAGCTTGGCGAAATTAGGTGTATCGGAGCATAATTTTTAGGTAAACTCAACGAAAAAAGATACTTTAAACTGTTATTTTCAATGAAAAATGAAGGAACTCAGGTATAAATATGGGAGTTTTTTCCTTCTCAGAAAAAGAAAATGTATCAATATTGCCTACAGTCTCTAAGAAAACAGTTTTTCATATCTTCTTGACCTCATCTTAAAAATGATATTAAGTTGAATATAGGTATCGGGGTTAATTTTGACATGATTTCAAATTTAATTCCATGAAATGTTTCATTTTCTACATAATTCTATAATAGCCGTAAAGTATGGGAAAAATTAAGTTTAAATCAATTATGACGTCATAATGGATCTAGCACCAAAAAGACAGTCTAAACTCATTTACTAGATCTTGACCTTAAGGTAATGTGTAAGTATTGATACAGCAGTGATATACTTTTCCCCCTTATTTCTGAACTCATTGTGGTTCACTCATTTGGATAATTCTACGTGATTATTTTGCAAGGCTTTGGAGATACAGGAACACATTTGTGTGTGTGTGTGTGTGTGAGAGAGAGAGAGGATGGATATGAGGTGGCCTGAAAATATTATTTGAACTTTCAAACAAGCTAATTGAATTAAAAAAAATACATGTGCACCGAAATATGGAGATAACGAACAGTATTTAAGTCCAGTCCATTGAAATACAAGGAGCAGAGCAAACACGGACCTTTAAAACGTCAGAGGTGGGGTCAGGTGCCATGGAGGAGTGAGCATCCCCTGCCGACCGGTCACACCCGCCTCTTGCTCTTGCCATGATCGGGAAATACCATTGACAATTAAGTGTGAAAAGAATGGCCTTACAATATTTATGAAAAAAGTCAGTCAGCATTTGACTTAATGATATACTGTATTTGCTGACAAGGTCATTGTATCGGCCATAGAACTTGCAAAATGATGCTTTAAACGAGACTGTTGATATTCTTGTTTAATCAACTTGTTTGGCAATAATTGACTCGTTTTAGAAATTGTCCGTACGTAAAGCATATGAATACAAAAATCGGTCTGCTAACAAAGGGGCGCAATTATTACCCACCGAAATTCCGACAGATTGTTGGAAGACCTGGTCTTTAAAATATAAACAATCAGAAACTCAAGCATCTTTTTAATGTCAACTTCAGAGTACTTGTGTGAACAATCAGAATGTTTTTAACAAAATAATGTTGCAAATGGCCAATGACATGGTAAGTAATTTTTTATTGAAAAAGCAGCTGTCAATGATGTCAAAAAGCTTGGACTAATTTATCGTGGGGAATGTATAAAGTGTTGAAAAGTCGTACGTGTTGTTGATGATTTTAGTAAAATTCTGTGATTTCAAATTTTCTAAAAGTTTCTTGGATCTTATGAATACATTTACTCACAAGGTCCACAATCTGGCGAATGGCTATTCCAAGTCTGACCTGAACAGGTAAATTCAAAGCACAAACAGGTCTCACGTGAGTATGGTAATTTTGGAACAGGTCGTCCACCAGTGATGAGAGATTCGATGCCTCTGTAATGAAAAAGGACTACCGGTTATGTAACATTTTATGCATTCATTTAGCAAATCATATATATATACATAGAGAGAGAGAGAGAAGAAGAAGAAGAAGAAGAAGACTTGATGTGGCATACATTCAGATATATCGGCGACAATTCATCAATAAACATTAGTTACTTTCATTCATTTGTCGACTCAATATATTCTAGTGAACTCGAAATAAAAGATATCATAGAGTCTGCTGCATCTATATTATATTTTGATGTTTTACTGACAAAAGACATTAATGTCAAACTAACAACCAAACTGGCTGTAAAACGGGGCGACTTCAGCTTTTCGATCGTCAACCTTCCTACCGTAAATCTGGAAATTTTTACTGTAGATAAATTTTTAGCATTCGCAAAAATATTTTTCTTAAAAATAAATCAACAACACCAAAAACGTAAACAAAAATTTTGCTGACAGTCTAATTTTGACCCGGTGAAGAGGAAGGTGTTCATAAGCAGTCACTGTGGTCATTTTAAGAAGCCTGTTTATGCTACAAGGTAATTACCCATGATAAAGCATGCGTGGAGAATATACATGCGTGATTTAATAAAATGTTACAAAACTTCAAAAAGTTTAGATGTTTTATCTCTTCTAGTATTTTTATCTGATTATTGAGCGTTGGCATCGTTTAATATAGTATGTACACGCCTAATTTTTTGTATGTACATGCATTAATATTGTTTGTACATGCGTAACTTTTAAACTGTTATGAAAGTGTTGAGCGCTTTTTAATTTTAGCGCCAATGACAATTCGCAAAATTTTGAGAGGTAAAAATTAATCAACAGCTTTTTGACCCAGATTCGCAAAAAGTAATCGACGTAAAAATTTCCAGATTTACGGTATTATGAATGAAAAAAATTGAAGATCACGAACAAAACAATCTACAAACAATACAAATCTCTAATCAGGGCATAAAACACGGATCCCCGGATATTCCTTAGGTGGGATCAAGTAATACTCCATTTTCTCCTGCATATGGCGACTGTTTCGAAACCAATACGGCACACTAGAGCATGTTCTGAGTACGATCAGTTTTTAACAGAAGCAGTCTACTGAAAAGTAGGTTGATGATACAGGACTTTCTACTATCTCGGTAAAAGTCAGCATTTTGCAAATTCCATGGTCGTTATCATGACCTTGATTACAAAAACAACATATCTTTGAGTCGTATTTTGGTTTCTTCTTTTTTTTTTGTAATGAAAATTCATACAAGACAGTCCAAGAACATTTGTATATCTTCCCATAACTAAGCCAAGATCATACATGTACATATGCTTCTATATTATTTAATGATCGTTCTAGTTCACCTGGACATTAGGATCAAGTGAATGCTGTCATCCTTCAGTATGTCTGTCTTTAACTGCAAATACGTGTAGCACTTTTCAAGAACTCTTTGCCGAATTGGTTTTAAACTGATAATCTTTTTGGAAATCTACTCTATCTAAGATTCTATAAAACATGGTTTACATGAACATATTGGCGTCTACATGAGAGTTTTAAAAACAGGTGATCCATGCGTCTTAATTGATGAACTGGTAGATGAGTAGCAACTGATGAAACATCTTTTTTCTTTTCTAAATATTTATTTGTAAAACGTTAACCCCAAAAATTCCTAAGCTCATGATCCGAATCTGTACTACATTTAAATGCTTGCATAAAAATACAAAATCTGTATCCTTGTCCCATGTGCAATAACTACAATGTATATACACAACTGAACCTCATTGTAATATTTTCCCTGTTTGTAGATGTCAATAATTTTAATAATTTAACGTCCATTGCCTGCATGACAGTTTGATAATTAGTTCATTTGATCCACTAAGGCAATGACTTCGGGGAAATTGACTGCCATATACTGTGTGAGGATTTTTGTCAATAAACTTTACAATGTGTGGCCGTCTTGAGAAGCAAAGTTTATCCTATACAAGTTCGACTCTCGATAAGGTTTATCCTTGCTCGTTGAGGGGGGAATTCCTTAAACATAAGAATTAACTATGCACGGTGATATTTACAAGATTTTAATTTTTTTAATCTCTCTTTATCTTAATGAATTTTTTTTCCAAATGTTTTTTCATGTCTTACTATTTAAATGATGGTCTAAAATGTGCCATGGCCATGATTTACAGGATCTCAAATTTTCAAAAGCAACTAAAATATAGTTTTTCAAATAATTTGAACTTTTCTACACACAAATTACCTGTAATACTAGTAGTTTTACTCAAGTTAAACGGAAGAAAAATTGTTTTGAACCAGAGGTCCTGTAAGCACGTGCACTGAGCTCACGAAATGATACCTCCTCCCATGTGAGAATTATATTAAAGTACATTTCTTCGCAGTATATTATTAAGATTCTGTGAAAGTTTCATCGAATCTCATTCAGGGGCTTAGGAGGACTAACTTTAACAACATGGGTACCCCTATAATGGCAAAGTCTATGTTTTTGCAGTGGGAAACTCCACACATCTGTCCGATCAAAACGTAAGATAGAAGGTGAACAATGGTCTTGAATAATAAAGTTTCTGTGAAAAAACTCTTTAAATTTTATTCAGTGGTAAAGGTGAGGATAAGAGATGTGTACCTCAGTGTTAAATAAAGAACGGCAATGTCCATTTGTCCATGTTTTGGTATTGGAAACCCAAAATATCTCTACCGAAACGTAAACAGGAGTGCAAAATGCCACTATGTAATTAAAGTTCTGTTTCAAAAATAGTATGAAATTATTTTAGTGATTTTGTTTGTTTGTTTGTTTGTATGTTGTTTAACGTCCCTCTCGAGAATTTTTCACTCATATGGAGACGCCACCACTTGCCGGTGGAGGGCTGCAAATTTTGTCCTATACTAGGCACTTACGGCCATTGAGCAGTGAGGGATCTTTTTCGTGCCAGCACCTACTGCGACACGGGACCTCGGTTTATACGGTCTCATCCGAAGGACCGGTCTCCACGTCCCACAGTGGGATTCGAACCCGCGACGTAAGGATCAACTCCTTACTTCGCGACTCTAGAGCAGACGCTATATCCACTGCGCCACGCGGGCTTTTAGTGATGTAAGAGGAGTTGTAGATAAGGGATGGCTACTCCCAAGAATTATGGCTACCCCAAGAAGAATCAAGAACGGCAATATGCTATAAAGATTCTGTGATAGTCTCAATAAATTTTATTTTGTGGTACAGGAGGAGTTACAGATAAGAGGTGGATCCCCCATTATTATAGAAATATTATAATGACAGTGTCCATGTTTTTGAAAATCCAAAACCTAAACAGGAGGTGAACGATTGCACTATGTGATAAAGATTTCATGAAAGTTTCTTTAATTGCATTCAGTGGTGTAAGAGACCCCATTACTAAATAACCCCATTTTCAAGCGGGGGTGTCTAAAAAATCTCAGGAACAATTAGTTTCTGTTACTAAAGCATACGTTAATCATTGTATAATGTAAATAAAATACTTCATACCCATGGCCTTTTTCTAATTTCATATGTGAAATGATTTGTGCACAGCAAGCAAAAATAATATGTTAAAACACTCTGTCCCATAGTCTTCTTTTTATGATGACTTTTAACAACATTTGCAAATGAACATATGTATATGTATGAAATACACCCTGATTGGTCCATATAACCTTTATTCAATTTTTAAAAATGTTAATATTTATCAGATTTATTTAGAGGTCCTTTTTGATGTGAAATCTAGATTTTTGGATAGGGAAGCATAATACAGAAATATTTCATTTACTATTCAACCTCTAATCCAGAAATCAAAAGGAAATTGCCATCTAAAATATTATCAGACATTGAAACATGCTTAAAACAATTGAAGCATGTGAATTATATTTCAATGTAAGATTGAAACAGATCCTTTTTAATTTTCTTAATGTGATTTTTTCATTTGGAATATTTTAAGAGATTTTTTATGTTATATTAGTTGTTATGGTATTTGTACACATTACAAAATTTAGTTAAAGAGTGTTTTAAGATAAAAACTGCATATGCTCTTCAAATTAAAAACCTGCCTGGCGTTTATATAATGATTAAAAGCAAAGAAATACACTCTATTGATTCAGTAAGTTTCAATAATAGAAGGTGCTATGACATTGTTTGGTGTTAATGGCCTATATGTTTAAACTATGTATTTGTATATTGGAAACAATAATTATTTATATAGAAATCTGACTTTCAGAACACTACGATGAAGTATGCAGTAAAAAAGTCCAGTTTCAGGGCTTAGTGCTAGGGATTAAAAATCCTTAACAACGCTACTTGTTTCTTCAACAAACAAAAGTAATTAAAGCTCGTCTCCAAGATCTAATCTGTTATGTTCAGTGAAAATAAATTTTTTATCCAGTTAATCTATTTTTCTGTACTCTGAATTCAAACAATAATTAAATCAATTTGTATTGTGTAGACATTTTTTTTGGTTTACTTTTTGGGAAGATAAACAGTTAATTAACTAGAGATCTAATAGATAATGCAAATACAATGAATAATGATTAGAGTTAAGGTGAAATTACACTCATCGTTAAGACTAAATCGATTAAATAACCCCCCAAAAATATAATTGAGTGGAAAAATATAAGCGATATCAATATTTGTAATGGAGAGCACAGACATATTGATATTTATATTTGGAAAATACGCCTATGGAAACTTCATATTAAGAATCAAAATACCCAAAGAATTAATCAGAACTTGAACGAAACGCCTACCTTTGTATAGTTATAGATTAATCTATCAGATTCTATCTGAGGAAATTGTTTATGTCAAACAATTATGTAAAATATACATGGGCTCTGATAATTGCTTTTTTCATAGTTTCCTGACGGCTTACTTTCGCTGACTCCGAATTATAAACGAATGAGTGGTTAACTGCTGTAGAGGACCAATTTTCAAATAGATCAAAATCAAGACTTATAACGTCAATAGTTCACATCATTGAACAAGAGACAAAAGCAAACACAAATGAAT